CCGTAAGCCAATTGAAAGTTGATCGAATAAATATATATATGAAAAAGAGATATGATCATGTGATTTTGTCAGGCGCCTGTGAAATTAATTCGCTAAAAAGTGGCGAACAAATTGCAATATTGTCGCTTCATCATTTTGTAAACATTCTATGAATTATTATTGGTTACAAACACAATGTCATAAAAATTCGTTTCGCTGGATATTCATTTCGTAGATAGTTGCGTGCATTTAAGCATTTAATTGTTTTCAAAATAAAGACACCAAGATCATCGTTGTTTACGTTCAATTCGTTAACTCCAAATCCGATTTTTCAAGCACCTTTAAGGTCTCTAATTATGAAACTTTTCTCTTACGTTAACCATTTCCACATTATGAACGGAATCCGAATAAATATTTTCTGTAAAACTTCGAAATTGCATCATTTTCACCGTGACTAGGCGCACGTTATCATTAATTGCATGAATTAATATTCTTTTTAAAGCAATGTGAATGAAATATTTGCATAATTATTTGATTGAGCATACGCTAAAAGTGCCAATAATACATTTCTGACGACAGAAGTTTGATTAAAAAAGGAATAGAACGAAAAAATCGATTTTAAATTCAATTAACACAATTGCTGCCAACAAAGTGTGAGTAAGCAAGTTATCATTCAATTGAAAGGTATACGGTAATACATCGAAAGTTTGAGTGGCGTGATTTTTTCTTTATCAGTTTAATGCACGAAAAAAAATTGAGCTCCGGTTCTTTTCGACATGACAAATCGATGAAAATACATGAACTTTGATTCTATACGTACGATATGCTGACGTCGCAACCACTCAAGTGATAACATTTGTATTATTTGGGGAAATGAATTGATTTATATATCATTTTTAGATGATGAGACATTGTCTTCGATTTTTTTGAGATTTTAATTACTCATTGTTTTGATCTCGAATTATATAACACGCCTTCAAATGGTCTTTTGAATTGATCTAAATATCATATTTTAATCATGCATTAAATTTTGTTTTCTAATCAACAATTATTTTCTTACAGCTCATCAATTCCAGCACAAATATTTAAAAAAAAATACTTCCTTGCTGTTGATCACGAGTTTAATAAACATCAACGATATCCATTTCGAAATACGAAAACTATATGTGACTTCCTAATATAAGTGTAAAGTGCCGGCCTAGATTGTTATTCTAAACTTTTAAAAGAAGAAGTGTACTATAGTGGAAACAACAACACGGAGCAAATTGATTTATTATTCAGCAATTTCACGGAATTGAATTGTCAAATGAAAATTAAATGTTCTCGTCATTGATTGTTTCTAATTAGTGCATCGTGTTGGCTCGTGTAATTTTCATTCTATCTACGATTGCTTCTCGAATCTTTCCGTAAGCAATAAATATAAATATATTGATAAGCAATGGCTGACTACATAACATCGACAACTTCGTCTTCTCTACATTCGTCACCAACCCGAAAACGTTCTCGTGATTCTCTTGCCACACGATCATCGAGCTATTTATCTTCATGCAAAGCTGCAGTCACTGTTACATCAAACGTTGAAGAGATGGAATCATTGGAATCAGAAGCATCGACACTACCACCAAGCATTACCCAGCCGCGTAGTTCAATTCATAGTGTCCAAAATGGTTTAACATCAATAAAATCAAAGCCAATCATAAAAAATGGTGATAGTAATCCATCAAATGGGACACCGTCTCAACCATCGATTGTCGTAAGTAAATTTCCCATAAAAACAATAACACTAATGATAATGATACAGATAAACAATAATGAATGACATTTATTTTAATTGGTTTTAAATCGAGTAAAACGCTAATTAACAAAGTGAAAATTGAAATGTCTATCAGTTCCGTTCGCTGATCATTCGTTATTTTCTCAAGCCACTTTCTAGTCATAACAAACACTTGACTTGTCTTGTTGACTAACTTTGTTGTATCCTTCCGTATGATTATATATGGACGTTTGCGAAACATTGTGTGGAAAATATAAAGTAAAATCACATCAAACACAAGTTGTTTATAAGACTGTTGTAATAATGACAAAGTGTCGACAAAACAATTTTACAAATTTCAATAAACTGAAATTTGGGCCATGTGTCAAGGCAAATCATTTGACTGACAACAAACGCCAATAGTAAACGCCACATCACTTACCGTGGAAAAAGTGAACACTGGCTCGGCACGTGTCGCACAACAAATTAATAGTAATTTGAATGAATAAAATTTTATATAATAATTGTGGCAGACATGTTGAAATATTTTTTCTCCATATAAATAGAATCAAATCATTCTGTCAAAAGTGAATATGGTGCTTTAAAGTTATTGAAATGACTGAATTATATGCGTATTATAACATAGACATACTGTGTATGTAGTTGAACATTATATTCGTAAAAGTGATTTGGTTCTTTCCTATGTTCTATTTTTATACTCTCATTTCCACTGTTATCGTGATCACTACTTCAATAATAGATCGGTTTCTCGTCATAACACCGGATTCATACTCACACATTTTCAAATGAATATTCAATAACCTTTGGCAAATTAAACGATTGTTTTTTATCATTTAAATGTCACCTTAAGATCTTCTAAAATTACGCTAGATTTGGATAGATAGCGACAGAATTTTATGAGTGACGTAATATTTGCACAACAAAACGGTTCTGGATTGCTTGAATTTGCAGAATAAAATGTCATAACATATTAAAATGTATTTCTTTTCCGCACACATACATCACACATTACGGAAGATAATGTATGTTCCCGCTTGATTTTATTACACTCGCAAGTATTGTAGCGAAGTAGTGTGATAAGGATTCAAACGATGTTCATTTATTTTGAATTAATGGTCATATGCAATAAATCTTTGACTTTAATTTGTCGCTAAAAATGCTAAATGAATTCTATGAAAATGATTTCTCCTTTATTCAGAGGGCAAGGACAGAACTAGATTTATTTGAAAATTGTGCAATAAATGTATTTGAATCAAATTGCCAACATAATAATCGTACGATGCATAGAAAACAATATCCACACTCGGGATTGGTTCAATAGACACACAGAAAAATATCGCGTGATTCGAATACAAGCACATTGAAGAATAAACGATGATGAAATCATACCGGGTTACTTGCAACCGGATTATTGTTGTTTTCATACAATCACACATTTATAGGTCACAGTAACATACTAGGTAACATATACAAGCGAACACACTATTGTTTGCAACTGTCATTTCATACAATTGTACATCGTCAATTTTTCTGTGCCCATTCCATTAAAAAAGCGGTAAACATCTGCGCAAGTCATCATACGACTTTCTTTCATTCATATATTTGTGAACGATAACTCAATATATTTCAACCATAATTTTCCCCTCTTTTCTTTCTCTAACCACTTTTTTTCTTCTTACTTCCAATCGATTCAAGCAAAACGTAAATTGCTTTTTGAATATTTTTTATGACGATGTACAGTACACTTAGATACATTTCGATTGTTTTTGACATATTATCACATAAGTTGACTTATTTATTTGGTTGCACGTAATCTTTGTGTTTAACTTCAATCGAGATTTATTGGAGGAGAAAATAAATTGAATTTTTTTTGTGTCGGGCGAATTGGGTTATTTGTTGACGCATAATATTATAAAATTTGCAGATTTTCTTACATTTTCCGAATTGTCGAAAATAGTTTTATGAAACAGTGTCACAGTATGCATTGCCACTTTCAACGTCAATTGTAATCATGTCTATGAAATGAATTATTATAAAACAAACGCAGTTCGATAGAATACAATCAAATTTTTCTACTTTGGTATTTAAAAATTTACGAACTCAAGATACACGAAATATTGTCAACAAACTAGTTGGACCTTCGACAAAAAAAGGATAGTGAATTAAAAGAGAAAAGATGTTTCGTAACAGTATTAAAGAAGTGGGTGAACCATCTCTGGAGGCATCTTCTTTGCCAAGACGAGATTCACTATCTAGGTTACTTGACGCAATAAAAAGCGCATCAGTTGATGGATATGTAAGAATTATGAAATGAAAAAACTCTACAGATTTCCATCCTCTGAATTTCTTTATTTGTTCAGTCATTTCATGAATAAATTAGTTAAAGTTATTGATGAAATCCTTTATTTTGATACGTTCGCTATTAATAAGTTTATCATTATTATTATGATTGTTTTATTTAGACAATATGCAAGCCTGCTCCATCTTGCGATGATGAAGATGCGATACTCGAACGTGAGAGATGTGATTATAATATAAAAATTACATACGATATGGCAAAATCTGGTGATACGCCACGTCGGGTGCGTGTATACGCAGATGGTAAGTATATTTGATTTATTCAAACTTTTTGGATTGTACATAATCACAACTGTTTTTTTACTTTCATCAGGCATATACGATCTTTTCCATCAAGGACACGCGAGACAATTGATGCAGGTAAATATTCTTTGTCATACTCATATCTCTCTATATCAAACTCTCCTTTCTTTCACATTATTGACCAAATAATAAAAAAAAAACATCTTTTCTATGTAGGCAAAAAATATTTTTCCGAACGCTTATTTGATCGTTGGAATTTGCAGCGATAGTTTGACTCGTAGTCGAAAAGGTCGCACGGTGATGAACGAGAAAGAGCGATATGAAGCGGTGCGGCATTGTCGATATGTAGATGAGGTATATATAAATATGATTCTATAGCATTTTTCGGTATAATTAATACATATATCTGTTGAAAACCATTCATAGATCGTAACTGATGCTCCGTGGGAATTGACCGATGACTTTTTGACACAGTATAAAATTGACTTCGTGGCACATGATGAAATTCCATATACGAGTGATAATCAAGAAGATATTTATTCGAAAGTCAAAGAGCGTGGCATGTTTGTGGCTACTGAACGTACTGAAGGTATGTATATACAGGAATCGCGCAATTGCATAATAAAAATGTTAATAATAATATTTGAATTGGCTTTTGTAGGTGTTTCTACCTCCGATATCGTTGCCCGAATTGTAAAGGATTACGACTTGTATGTTCGCCGAAATCTAGCACGAGGCTATTCTGCCAAGGAATTGAATGTCAGTTTTTTGAAAGAGAAAAAGTTCCGATTCCAAAATAAAATGGATGAACTTAAAGACAAAGGGAAACGTGTAATGAACGAAGTTAAAGGCGATTTTATTACAAAATGGGAGGAAAAATCGCGTGATTTCATCGAAACGTTTTTGTTATTGTTTGGACGTGATTCGATTACAAACATTTGGGATAAATCAAAAGGACGTTTAATGCAAGCTTTAAGTCCACCAGGAAGTCCAAATTTATCTCCACGAAGTTCTCCACATAATTCAGTGAATGATGATGACTGTGACAAAGATTCAACGTCCTCTGAAGGAGATTCCCCGAAAGCGAAACGTCTTGCTTGCACAAATAGCGAATTCGGTGCAATTAGCCGAACCACACGCTCAACCAAATCAAACAATGCGATTTTGGAATCAGAGGAGGAAGAAGAATTGGACGGTGGCGTAGCAACTCAACACATTCGGAAAAATGTCTGATCTAACCAGTAACCACTTCGATAACAATAACATAGAATGTCCTCGTATGCTCAATTCCGCCGAAACAAAAATGTAACCATAATGTGGATTATAGCAAGAGAACAAGAGAAAAAAAGATTTCGTTAAATAGCTTGCAAATACATCTTGTATTATATTTTTAATAATAGAAATTACTCGCTAAAAAAAGTTTTTAAATCAAAAAAATACATACGAATTAGGAAGTGTTCCGTGCTTTCTATTATCATTATGTTGACTTTTCCAATTATGCGAAAACAAGCTTGGTTTAGATTCATTATTTAATACTATTATAATTATTACTATATTATTACATTCATTACTGAATCTACAGTTTTGCACGTAAACTATTTCCATCATAATTCATGATTATTATTACATACTATCAGACAATTCATAAAAATTCAGTCTATTCTGTAATTCTAATCAATTCAAATAAACATTTGATTGGCAAACATTTGTTTTTTCAATAAGTTTTTGCAACAAATTACATTGCAATTATTCCAAAATAGTTACGGTTTCTGTGTGCTAGGCCTACTTCTTTTCCGAAAAACAAATACAAAATCAAAGTGTGCAGTTAGGATTTAGCATTTGTTATAAAACCATCCGCAGTATACGAGTATTTCATTTGAGTGTATCACACGTTCAATTAAATCTGAGAAGTTTCTGTAAAAAGCGAAACAGTTTTCATCAAAAAAAATTAATTTAATAATCTCAAACACCAAAGTGTCTCATTGCAGAGGCAACTATTCGACGAATCAATTTGAAAATTATTATTTTTTGTTGATTATTGTGATGGCTCTCGTTGATGAATTTTTTTAAAAACATTTCTGGAGTATTGAACTTGTTCAATATTTTATTTTTATATTAAGTGGGTTAAATGCAAATATTAACAGAATATTAAAAACGATAAAAATATTTTAAATTATTCTTTAAAAACCTTTTAAATTATAAAATCTTTCCTGTTAAAACGTGCAGTTTTATAGATGAAAACATGTAAAGTTATAATAAGTTATAGGAACGCGAGACTACAAAAGGTATATAAGTTATTCGCCGTGCATTCGGGGCGGTTTTTATTTCGACGTTTGATTTCTACCGATTTTTACAAATCTGAAGTGAATAACCGTATACTGCTCACCATAATAATCATCACATAAATATATTTATAGAACCGAAAAGAATTCAAATGCATTGAGAATACTTTGTCGTCTCACGTTACTATGAGTCTCTAATTCCTACTTACTATTTCGAGATTGTCATAATACTATAATAAAAAAAATGTTTGATTATATCATATAAATTTGTTCTCAGCGTGTTCTCATCATGAATATTTTGTTCGTTCCTTATCCAGTTCTATAATTCTAACTTCTTTTCGAATCAAACAAACATGAATACAATTTCAATTTTGGATGATGACTAATTTGCAAACTTAACTGGTCAGAATATATTATGTTGTGTGAGTATCATGTGGTATCAAAAGTTGTCTATTTATTGACAAAAAATCGCTTTCTTTATTATTATTTAGTCATGGTTTTGAAATATTCACATCATTTTGATGTTTGTATCTCACAAAAGAAAGAAGCAATATTTGAAATTTGAAGCATGAGTTTTTTTTATAACCGAAAATAAATCTCCCCATTTTGTTTCATTCGATAGCTATTCAAAATGAAAATCTCTTTCAAAAAGTCATAAAACTGATTTCAACTTATGTACTTCTTCTTGTTTTAATCAACTAAAAAATCTGTTACTAATTTTGAATCAGTTTAATATTTTCGATGAACGGTCGATCCGAGAACAAATATTTGCCATATTTTGAAGTTTTTGTAAGTAAACCTGAACACGATGGGGTCATTACAGCCCTGTCCATCGTGGTAACCTTTACAATCATTCCACAATATTCTGAATTAGCGGAAGTTTCTTTTTCAATACTTGAATTTGTAGGAATATCCTAGAAAATAAAATAAGTCATTAACATTCTTAGGGCATCAATGCTCCAAATACAATTTCAACAAAAATGAACCTATATTATTGACTTGTTCGCAGTAATGAATCATTAATTTAGAATTAAGTTGATAAGTTGAAATTCTTTCCATATTTTATTTGTATATGTAATATAATCTAGATAAATATAGAAGTTAAAAATAAAATAAATTGATTAACTTTCAATTTTACAAACGAGATTCCGAGAACAATAAAAACAAGAGTTAGTTGTTTTTAAAAGTGAGATAGCTATCGCCTATAGGCGATGCAATTGTAATATTAGCATTTTGCGCGTATCCCAGTGTATGTGTCAATTAAAATATCAGAACACAGTAATGCGTCACATTGAGACCTTTCAAGTAATTTTTACTTATAAATTAATCTCATGACTACTATAATTTTCATATGGTATTGTAAAATGTCACTTAATAAATTTTCGTATTTTACGTATATTCATACATTCTGACCAGGGGTCCGAGGGGTCTAATTGGCCCCCCCTGGAGAATGGATTTGGGAAATTATCCCTTTACAAATTTCAATTTCCTAGGGATTTTCGCCAAAAAAGTGAAGAGCAAGAAAAAAACGAAAAAGACAGAGATTTGCATAGAAAGAAGAAAAAATCTTTCGATTTCCTAGTCTCTGATTGCCTCAACATACGCTCCATACGATGTGCATTCGAAATTCCTCTATGAGAGCGCCAAATTTATAAATTCATATTAGGGTAAACTACAGCGTTTTTGTTGTCTAATATACACCAATAAGCATTTCCGCAAAAACAGAAGCATTTATATAAAACATATTGGTTATCTGATAATATTTTATCAAAATTTTTCGATATATAGGTGGCGATACTGATCAGTGACTCGAGTCAAATGATATATTGAAAATATCGACTTTCGATGATAGGCATTTCAATATGAACATTTTTTATTGAAAAAAGAACATATCTGGCGAGAAATCTATGCACACGAGTGACTGAGTGTAAGTGGTATTGTTCCGACTGATCTTTGCATACAAACAATAGAAAATCCAACCACTTGTCATACTCGACTCGTGTATATATATAGTATGGCATCAAAGGGTATTAAAAAACCGTTATATATAGGCAATTTATTGCTACTATTTTTATAGCAGAGCTATTTGAAAAATTGGATATGTTGTTGTAGTATATAATTGGTAATTTTTGAGAAATGGCGAATCAAACGTTTAACATTATCTCCTTGATATTTATGTACACATACATATAAAATATATGAACCATTGCGGTGGAAAAATAGCTCTTATTTTGTTCCAAATAATACTCGTATGAATTTTATTTTCATATAGAGACGTTGATGTACAATAACAAACCTATGTGGAAAAATCTCATATTTTAGTGTTGTTTGGAACAAAATATGAGCTATTTTTTCACCGAAACGATTCGTTTATTGTAAATTCCACTCCAGCAGACTGACTATGAGAGTGAGTACTCATTTTTTTCTTGATAAAATATACGTCGTCCCATCAGCACTGTAATACAGTTTGTGAAATCCCTTTTAATGCCAATATCAATAGAGACAGTCAGCTAAAGCATATATAAAATAGCACCGTATCTATCATGCTCAATAGTATATTCGCTAAGAATAGAAGGTAATTTGCTGTTGAGCGGTGGAAACAGCTCAGTTATAGTCCAACATCCAACAAGAACGGTGCAGTCATGTTCGGTGCTGTTTTTATTCAACCGTTATATTCGGAATATAAAGATATTCAAATTTAAATATTTTTTCAACAGAAAAAAAAATACGTATTTTAATTCATACACGACACAAAAGTAAATACAACTGTATATTAACTATAGTGTTTTATTGTGATAAATATGAAATTCGACCATTACAATTAATAAGAAAACGTGCAACTATGATAAATCTATTGACAAAAGAATTCAAATTATAAAATAAAAGTAAGAAAAACCTTCAACTCATAAGAAAGTTTTGTGGAAAATATGAATTTCACAATATATGGATTGTGTTTTGTAAAAGTGCTTCTCATTTAATACAGTAAAAGAAAACCGAAGAAAACATAAAAAAGATAACTGAAATGAATTCACCGATTAAGTAATACATTTAAAAGTATTAGATATCAGTATTAATTGTTTGATATTTATAATAAAGTTTTTACTCTACTTCTATTGTTGCATAAAACATGTTTTGATCTCATCATAAATTATTTTATTCAATATTGACCACATACTCGTTTGTGATTGAGTCCTATTAAAATAATAGTGCATATGTTTCCATTTATATGTTTGTTTATTTCACACAATACCTGCTGATGCTTATGTCAGTACGCGAGAGATTACTTTTATAAAACGAGCTTGACTAGGTATTGCAGTCTGTAAAAAAAACGGTGGCAAACAAGAACAAATGGCCGCTTAATGATGTATTGCTATTTTAAAGATCTGGTCTTGCCATCACTTCCATTCATATAAATGCTTCAGAATTATTATCTCTAATCTTTCTTCGGCATAAAAAAAGTCTCTTTGTGAACGCGTTCAATCAATTGAAATTTTAGTTAGTATTGAACGTCCATAAATCATATACGAATGAAGAGTTGTTCATGAATATGCAAACTTCGCTTAAATCAACGTCATCATAAGATTCAGCGATGTTTTATGTATTTACCGTCTTTGATGTGTTCCGGGTTAAGTATTTCACAAAGTCATTAAAAAGTGAGCCACGTTGAATAACATCACAATGGAAGCTGTGAACACAAAAAAAGCATCAAAAAGTTGTAGATAACGAGTGAACTCATCTTTCTTCCGAGGCACACAGTCGTAGCAATAGCAATAACATTTTGTTTTTGGAAACTGAGACCCATAAGTGTTGGCTGTGTGTTATGTTAGTTCTCATGGAAATTATCATCGTATGTGTTGTTCTTTCATAGAAATAAACGTATTGATCGAGTTCGATGATTATAAAAAAAAACTATTTTCGTACCATTTATAAGCATTTCCATTTATGGAATGAAACAACTTGTACATATTTTCCAGTGTGATTTTTAATTTTTCTTGTATCTAAACATGGTAAAATTAGAAGCACATACATTCACTTCATTATATGCAGTTAAATTTTGACATGATTAACAATTATATTTTATTGATGAAGTTGACAACATATCGGTGCTAGGGGGTAGACACGAATTATAAAACTTTGAATCATGTGAATCACAGTGAATCATTCAAATGTCAAATAAGCATCACTTTTGGTTTTATTAACATGATCGTTCAACAAATTCTAAATATTATCGTTGATTTTATTTGAAATTTACTATAAAAACACGAAAAAGATAAAAAAATGAGTTAATACATTTAAAAAAACGTCAAGAAATCATTTTTTCGAGACAAATAATTTTAATTTATCAATAAATACTTCTTTCATGAAACATAAGTGACATTTCAAATGTCATCTAAACAATGTGAATCTTTTGAATCACAGTGAATCAAATGAATCATGTCTACCCCCTAGTATCGGTGGCATAGTATATTTAATTAATACTGTAATGTATTCCCGCATACTGAACATTTGTTTTTGAATTCGACATTTTTTTGAATCACAATTTTTTTTGAATCAATTTCAAGATTATATGTGTTGTTCAGAATGAAAATGACCTAACAAATCTCACGTCCTGCTTTCGCTTATAGCTAGAACGTCCAGAAGTAAGAGCATGTGGTGAGATTCTTTAAGTCATTTTCACTCTATATAATGTTGAAATCATTGACTAAAAGTCTTTTCTATCTAAAATCACGATATCCCATTTTGCAGACATCAAAACAATTTCAATAGCCAATTCATTGTCAATAAATTCTCACAAAATAAACAACGACAACAAACAAAGCAAGTACAAGTATTACATTACACAAAAAGGCCTAGGTACACTCCCAAAAAGGGTGCTCCCATTCAATTCACTCCGAAAGTTACATTTTTAATATTTTGCCTGTAATTATAATTAATGCAACATATATGAATACGAATTAAAGCTTAATAATGATCTGATGTTTTTAAGCCTTTTCACATTGAAATGTTTCGTTCGCGTGAATTCATTTTTATAGGAACGCGAGACAAAAAAATACAGCCATTCATGTCATTTTCCATAACAAAAGAAGCTCGCAGTACATAAGTATGCTCGTCACTTATCGTTCGTGTGTGATGTACGCGTAAACGATTATTTGTCCTATATTCATAATCAAAGTAAATGGCATAATATCAAGAGTTAGCCGATGTTATATGCGGATTCGTTAGAAAAGGAATATTTTTTAATATCATATAAAAGCCAATACTGCGTTCAGGTATATTGTAGCTATATGATTGTTATAAATATGATATAGCCTTTTATCTTTAAGAAACATTCGTCGTTTTTATGGCATCGTTTGAAAGAACTACAGAGATAACAAAGCTAAAATCTCAAAGTTGGTGATTTATATAGATTTATTTTGGTGAGTCAGTGCAAATATTTATGTTAAGTTTTCCTTCATAAAAAGTTGGTTTTCCTTGGAAGAGTTTTCAAAAATTGAACATAAATAGAAAGGTGCGATTGAAATAAATTCAAGGCACTTTATTTGATGAAATAAAAAAAAATGACGAATCACCATTCATTTTATTAAAGACTAAGTGTTTGTAATATTTATTAACATCATTTTTGCTAGAAGCAATATTCACAGATGATTTTTTTAACTTCATCAAAATTTCCGTTAGATAAATGAACTTAAAAAATTAGAAGAAATTAAACGCATTTTCTTTGTTGGAAACATAAAAAAATTGTAGGCGTTTGGACTGATATCTGGAGAAGTCTTGGGAAAGAAGTAAAAGTTTTAAGGAAGATAAAATGAATAGCCAATCGGAAGGTGCAAACAACAATTTTGAAAATGAGGTGATTCCGTTGATATAAAACGATATTGAAAAATAATCTCATACGTCATAGTGGTTTTCGTTTAGATTTTATCAGTGGATGATATTTCGAAAATTCCTCGTTTGCCTGGAGACGGCGCCCAAGATGACTTCGATCATTATAATGAACCTTCGAATATTGAACAAATAAACAATATTGGTCCCCACGCAGTAAGCGTGCGAAATAGTATTTCAGGTTCCGTGCAAACACTTAATCAAGGTAAATATTTTCATGATGAATTTTAAACGAAATGACATACTCAGACGCTATTAAACAGAGACATTTCACTCTTCCTCTCTCCTGCTGTTTTTTACAATATATTAATTTTTGAATCATCCAGTTTGATTTATATTTTAAGGAGAAAATCCAGACAATCTATTTGGATATTGTCATCCAGCTCATTTGGCCAACGTCTGGCGCTGAAATGGAGTGAAAACAATAGAATGATGGGAGTGTTTTTATAACTATAACAATCAGTTCAATTGTTGTCGATCCATTTCAGCGCCTGACGTCAGCCGGATGAGCTGAAATGTCTGGATGACAACATCCAAATGTATTGTCTGGATTTCCAGAGGGGATGTTAAAACAACCGTTCCTTTCAACTTACTGTATTTTTCAACATACATGTATGCAGAGCACGCAAATTCAATTAGCTAAATTGTTTGAAATTGACTACATCAATAAGCAAACAAACCGTTTTCGTATTTATCGCTCACACAATTCAACACCTGCACAATTTAAGCGCTTACAATAATTGTTTTTTTTTCGCGAGCCCTCTTTTCAAAGTGTGATTCATTTACGAGTTTAATTAGGAAGATTAGAAGGGGGCGAGCGTGTTAAGTTACGTCATTTCGTATGAAGGTCAATATTTGCTATCTATCCTATCACATTTTTTTATCGATAAACAAATAACGTATAAAGTAACTTTTTTTATCTAGCGATGGTACTATCGATGGTATTATGGTGAAATCAATAATCTATACGACCATTTTTTTTTTTTCATTTTCAACGCTGTTCCCCACAAAATTTATGCAGGAAAAGTTAAATCGACTGAAAATCAACCACCGTTTAATAATGAAGCTTATTCTGCATTCAAGCGTGGAAATGTGGTCAGAGGCATTTTATGCCCATCACTCACAAACTCATTCCGCGCACGATCATTAGAGCATAGTTATTTAACTTATTCACACAGGCAACGCCAAAAGTCTCTGCTAATTGTGAACGTTGTTGATTTAATGCTGAAAATAGTTTTAGCAATAATATGGATATGCAGAAAATCTGCTGAACTTGTATGTACTAACTTTATTATTTCAATGATGTTTAATCAAATTTTTCTTTCGTCTCTATTAAATTGAATGAACTTTTTTTTCCCACAAAACATAATTTTAGCCCATACAGCCGGAGCATGTTTCATGGACGATTTGTTGTGCCTTTGCAAATTTGGGAATTTGTGTTCTTGGTCTGTGGAAATGTTTTGCCAATAACTATTTGCATTGGGCAGCAATTGTTAGTTGGCTGTTGTTTAATGTGCAAGGTAATAATTTTGACCAAAAACTATCTATCACATTTTTCATAACGTATTGAATTTATTTTGTGGTTGCAATTTAATTATCCAATGATTCGAATACGTGAAATAATAAGTAATTTTGTCATTTATACGCATTTCCTCTTTGTTTCACCACAAATAATTTTCATATAGGTTTTGTTGGAGAATGCGTTGGTTTTGCCGATAGAGAATGTATGGTTTGGTACATGCTTTTTATTATATTCGTACCGTATGCCATGTTACCAGCACCCCTAAAATTTTGCATGATTGGCGGAAGCATTTCGGGGTTTGGTCATTTGTTGATTATATCTACTGGAAAGCTGCAAAAGAGTAGTGTAAATAAATTGATGAATTTTCTATTTGCATTTGTTTTAAATTCCCATTTTTTTTAAAAATGGTAATATTTTTCTCTGTTTGCGTGCACAGGATTCAAATTGTATAACACGGCAATTGTTGGCGAATTCACTTCTATATTTGGCTATAAATTTTGCTGGAATGTATACAAAATATCTTACTGACCGTGGACAGCGATTAGCATTCATTGAAACACATAAAGCTATGGAACACAAAAAAGACTCGGAAAAAGAGTACAAACGGACACAAAAACTTCTTGATTCTAGTAAGTGGAACAGCTATGTCAAACTAGAGTAGACAAATAGTCACTGAACTATAAAGTCTTTTTCACATTAAAGTGATTAGCAATGGGCGTTATCTAGAGCCAGATAGATTTTATTAGGTAGATGATTTAACATATTGCACGCACCATTTGTTCTTGATGCGACTTAATTGAATTATATCCACTCCAAGTATTGATAAATCTATTTTATGTTCATCAAAAGCTTGTTCCATTTATGATATTCATGTATGATGCACATTTTAGCATACGGTCAATTTTTGTATGAAAAAGAATATTTAAACTACAGAATACTTAAATAGAAGAACTTCTGAATTGGAGAATTTGTAAAAAATTCCAAAGCTCTAAAAATTGAAAATCATTGCCTCAGAGGACAAAAGAAAAATAAACCGGAATATTTCTCATTTTAATTTAGTTTTACCAATGTTTGTGAACACTGACATCAGAAAAGAAACGTACAAAGGAGCCGACGCAAATGTTGATGCTCAATTCAAAAAATTGTACATCTACCACATGGAGAACGTTAGCATTCTTTTTGCTGACATCAAGGTTAGTTAGAATTATTCAATTGAATATTGCTTTCAAGTACTTCAATTGAATTTCATTTTCTCGCTTAAGGGGTTCACTGAATTGGCAAGTAAAACATCGGCTCAACAACTTGTGAAAATTTTAAATGATTTATTTGCACGTTTTGATAAAATAGCCGAAGTGAGTATTTCATTTTGTAAACATTTCATACATAACATTTTCAAAACTGTTTCGTTTTAGGACAATCACTGCTTACGGATAAAATTGCTCGGCGATTGCTATTACTGTATCAGGTATAAATTTAATACGATAGATTCCAAATATCTGGTGCAAAGAAAAGTAGGAATAACATAACAATTCTTTTTTTCAGTATGTTTGATAGTCAAAGGTAAGCATTATAGTAAGGAATAATAGTCAGAGGCTTGTTCCATAAAAAAAACTCTTGTATATAAATAAATAAAAACAAATGATAATTTCTAGTTGGAAATCGCGTCCAGATCATGCTGTTTGCAGTGTAGAAACAGGCCTTCACATGATAAAAGCCATTAAGGATGTTCGACATAGCACCCGAGTATGATTTCTTCGAAGAATTGTAAATACGAACTAGTAACTCACCACTGTGTTTTATATTTAAGGTCGACTTGGACATGAGAATTGGTATACACAGTGGTTCTGTTATGTGTGGCGTCTTAGGGATTAAGAAATGGCATTTCGACGTGAGCATTGTCTATTTTTTCATATATCATTTTTATTAGATATCATTTCTTTACAATAGGTCTGGTCAAACGACGTGATTATTGCGAATCATATGGAATCAGGTAATGTATTAAAAAAGTAAACAAAAGATGTGATTTTTTATTTTCAAATTCTTGCATGGATACAGGAGGAGTTCCGGGAAGAGTTCACATATCTGAAGCTACGCTGAAATGTCTCAATGATGCATACGAGGTTGAACCCGGTAAATAAAAATAATAATAATTGAAATTTTTAATTTCAAATGGCTTAATTCTTAATCTTGTAAGGTGATGGTGGGAGCCGTGACAGCCATTTGAAGATGCTGAACATCAAAACTTATTTAATTAAACGAACGGAGCCGCTAAGGTACAAAACTGTTTCAAAATTTAAAAAAATAACCACTCTTTTTTCATCATTTGATAACATCTTTTTAGAGCACGAAAACGTTATTGTGCCCGCCGCATGAGTGCGATATCCGATCAAACTTCAAGAAGTGAGCTTGCAAAAAATAGTCTGTCATTTATACATGAAAACTCTAGTAACGACGAAAGCAATAAACGGCAAACAAAAAGCGACTCGCGGTACACAATCCCAGATGATGAAATACCATTTGATTGGATTGCGGAAATCCCATTTTGGAATGTATGTGTGTCGATTATTCATAATTTTCTCTTTAAATTAAAATTTATTCATTTTGATTAACTAGCTCAACGAAAGCGATGAGAATCATATGGATACAGTTAAAGGAAATGAGTATGTGGCACAAGAAATGACGGCACCCGTTGCATCAATAGAGGAAGATGTTGACGAATTTATTGATCAAAGTATTCAAATCAATTCAAATAAGCAAATGAGAAATGAGTATCTGCATCCATTGACGCTGAAATTCAAGGATTCCACACAGGAATCGAAATATTGTCAACTACGTGAAGACATGTTTCGATCGAATGTATTATCCGTATTTATTATTTGGATTTTCATTGTATTCATTCAAGCCATGATTATACCACGATGCACAATATTAATAATATGTCTGAGCGTTTCGACTGTGATTTTAACGTTTCAAATGCTTCTTGTGATGGCCGAAGAGTTTTCTACTTTGCCAATGTTTCTGCAAAAAAGTTCAGCGTCATTAGTACATCATCGTGATTTTCGTACATTTTTCATATGTACAATCATATTTTTATTGTCAGCCGCAAGCTCCATGTCCATTCTGTGTCCAATGGAACTAAATCAAAGTGTTAACGATTTTAACATGACAAACCGCAGCACCAGTCAATCCAAATCAGAAAATATAAATGAATTATATCCAAATAATCTATCAAAACTTCAAATAACCAATGAATTGAACAGTAATCATATTGAAGACTCGGATAAATTTATAAATAAGAATGTAAAAGATCTCCTTTCGAATCAAAAAGTGTCACGTAATTTAATTCAACCGAAAAGTCAGACAGAAACCTGTACTCATCCGGAATATTTGGTTTTCACGTGGGTTTTGTGCTTAATTGCACTTGCAACGGGACTGAAATTATATTATCTTGTCAAGACGTTTATGGCTTCCATTATGGTGTGTTGCTATGCAATGCTGATTTCATTTATATTTCCGGAGGTCTTCGAAGAGGCTTCAGTAGAATCTGAAGTTAACTCAAAATATGGAATGCCACTTACAATCCGAATGAATATTATGCTTATAGTTTTTCTTACAATGGTAACGTATCACGCGAGACTGGTTGAAGTCACATCAAGACTGGACTTTATTTGGAAAGAGCAAGCTGAAAAAGAACTATCAAATATGAAATCTAATAGAGTTCTAAACGATTTACTTATAAAGGCATGTATCACACAACATTTGGCATCCGATTAATGTATTATTGATAACTAAAATTTGCAGAATATACTTCCCGATCATGTTGCCAGTTATTATTTATCGGATGGACGTTCTGATGAATTATATGCCAAGATGCATAGTTTATGTGGTGTAATGTTTGCATCAATTCCAAATTTTCAAGACTTCTATTCGGAGGACATTGAAAATGGGAAGGCGTGCATCCGGATTTTGAATGAGATTATTTGTGATTTTGATTCATTAATGGATGAGCCACGATTTGCGTCGGTAGAGAAAATTAAAACAGTTGGAGCCACATACATGTAAAGTGGATAAAAAAGAATGTATATCCTTTTGAAAATGAAAGCTAAAAAAATTGAATTATAATTACAGGGCCGCGTCAGGATTGAATCCAAAACATCAGGTAATGAATTTCTCATTTGATGATAAGGTCATTCCGGAGAACAAAGATTAATAGAAAATGTTTTATTTTTTATTTTTCAGTCGGAGAAGGGTGAAAATGAGGACGATTGTGTCTGTGATTTAGTCGAATTTGCCATGACACTGTGTCAAAAATTGCAAGAAGTCAATAAAGACGCATTCAATACTTTTCAGCTCCGAGTCGGTATAAGGTGAGAATTATAGCATATAAAATGATGCAATTGACCTAAAACGATGATATTCTTTTGTTCAATCTTTAAAGAATACTCTTTTTCTTTGAATCTACAGCAGCGGGTCATTGGTCAGTGGTGTAATCGGGGCCAGAAAGCCTGTTTACGATATATGGGGTATTGTTTTGAATTATTTTTTACATTTTTACAGTGTGAAGTCATGATATTCGATTTATACAGGTAACACAGTGAACGTTGCATCACGTATGGATTCAACAGGTGAAAATTGGAAAATTCAAGTACCTGATTACACTGCAATGCACCTATCTTCAAAAGGATACACTTGTGTTGTAGGCATTCAAACTTTAATTTCTTTCCGACTTGGCTTGAATGTTTTTACTTAAAATGCCATTTCTATTTTTATTTTCATGCCCCAAAATTACCGAATACTATGTTAGAAACGTGGTGAAATCAATGTGAAGGGAAAGGGCATAATGACCACATATTGGGTATTTCTCTAAATTTTAAAAAATTAAATCAATCAACAAAAAAAAAACTTATTTCTAATGAATTGACTATTGAATATTTTCAATAGGTATTTGGAAAAGGTGTGTCCGTCAATCAAATCTTACCAGGTCCAGTGCAAGCAGGAATACCACAAGCCACATCACCGTCATTCCAACGTCAAGTATCACATCATACTTCGTTAGCAGCAGTTGTCTATGGAATGATGCAAGCATCGAAACGAACAACTAACGTAAATACAACGCGTAAGTATAGTTACACAAATAGCACAAACACAATGATCTGCGAAAAAAACAACAATATATTACTTTAAGTTTTGAAGCTAGACGCTTTCGTAATCCATCATTTCGTATTCATTGGATGTTTTAAAGTATAATTTGTCTACAAGATATGACAGAATACTATAAAGTTATTTGCACATCGTATTTGCTCTTCGTAAATTAGTTGTTGTTCTAAACGTCGTATAGTTGAAAATTCATTATATTCGTCTAGTTTTTATTTTGCACACGTTCAATTTTCTTTTCTTTTTTTTTAAATTTTTTATCACTAGGTTGGAGACGTGCTAAGCGATTAACATTCACATCTATTTTAGCGTATGTAATCATTGCATCACTATAGAATCGCGCTTCTCTATTCCTCTTCATTTAGTGTGGTTTTCTCCAACAAAATTTATTATCCTTAGTACAAGTGACTTTTGTAATTCTCTCTTGCATGTCATCATTCAATAACAATCACTTGAATAATCCAATAACAGCAGTATTTAATTCGAAGATGCAATCTATCAAAATGTTCAGTAATTTATACCAAAATTCAAACCCAAATTAATATACCGAAACCTATACCACAATTAACTATTAATAGCCAATTCATCCTTAATCGTAAAAAAAAAACGAATTGCATGTCAATCTTTGTCTTCAACTAAAAGCATAGTCAAGAGTTGGACAGATAAAATACAAAAAAGTTGTCACTACTTTTCCGGTGCCTATATATGACATCCTTTTGTGTCTTGAATACAATCCATTTATATTGATTATTTATATTATGAGACGAAGTCACATTGGACCTTCAACATATGCTCTTTCAATCATTTTCATTGCCACGCACATGTTAAATGTTCAGTGTGTCTCAGTCTTTCATCATCACCCAAAGCTTGGTTAAATTCGAATTTTGGGGTAAATAAATTTCGTAAATGTGTACTTTTTTTTTTCAAGTAAACTGTACCTACATTCTACAATATTTTTTTGAAAGTTTTTGAAAGGAAAAATATATATAAATGTTCCATTATTTACTTGAAAATTTGCGTGCAATTTAATTGAATTTATTTCAAAATTCTACAGCCTCCAATCGAGGTATTAAAAGTTCACACCCATTAATTTTCATAATATTTTCTATAATTGCATCAAAAGCCAACGAAACACCATCGCCGAAAGTTCATCGCAGGGGCAGCACGTTTTCGTCCGTTCGATTGTCGCAGAAAGTGTAATGAACTACAGAAATTTGATTGAATTATTTTTCTTTCCTAACCTTTTTCAATACAATTTTCAGCCCGTCTAATCCAATCAGAAGAAACACAACTCGCGCACGAGCAAGAAGCTATAAAAAGGAAAAAGTTTGTTTTGAATTAGATTAAAATTTTTGGATCAATTTACTGATGCTCGTATTCTTTATAGAACGCAGTTGCAACTGTTCCAAACACACCGAATCCAACCAATACGATGGCGAACACATTTCGTTTTGACCTCACTTTGCGAAAACAAGAGACTATTTTTCAGGACAAATCATAAAAAATGCTTCCAAAGTCGTTTCAGTTGGGATGTTGTTTTTATATCATTTGAATTATAAATTAACGAAGCATACCGTAAGAAGGTAATATATCAGTTTTAAAATAAAATGCATTTGAAGACAAAATGTTCTGAATTATATTTGTACGAAAAACGAATGAAATACATTAAAGTGTTTAAACTTTTTGAAATGTAACCGATTTAATCTACAGAGGTCAGTGTCCTCAGAGCTCAGAAACAGCAAAGAAAGGTCTTCACGTTCAAAAGTGCAATTCATCTACTGCACCATTGATTCCTCCGAAGTAAACAGAGGGATGGTTTCAATTACCTACTGATTAAAGTTGTAATACTGATTAAACTTCGATAAATGCCGACTTGAATGAAAATCTTGTGGGCAATTTTCTACACATTTAATTTTTTAGTTCAAATGTTTTGAAATTTTGTCGATTTTTATTAATTAATCTAACTATACTTGGCAACTATAAAATTAAATTGGTTTTTTTAAGTTATCACAAAAAGCCAATTTGAAATCTAATTGTGAAACAATGGACATTTTTGTAATGAGTCTCCAAATATCATTCCCACCAAGTTCCATAAAATAACATAAAGTTTTACATATTGGTTAAATATGGCAAAAGATACATATATATGTATAAGATTTTCAGTTAAGAAATATGTGTCATTCAATCAATCAATATCTTTTATTTACTTTAAAATATATGAGCAAATAGCTCCGGTATAAAACCATGTGATAAATTGTTTGTGTAGTTTTTTTTTTTTGTATCAATATACATGTAGTAGTTTGTAATATTATTGAAACATAATTTCATTCATGTATGCTTGAAAAGTGTAAATTATTAAAAAAAAATATCCCCTTAAAACTTATTTGTGATTTTAACTTCTTTCGATGATTTTATTTTTTATTTTATTTCGAGAAAAGAATACATCAAAATAAAATATTAGAACAAAACAGTAAAAATGATAAATTGATGTTAACTCCAGGTGGCAAATCTATTTTGTTTTCAGGAGCTGAGATAACTTTGTTATTATTGATGCGACATTTAAAGTAATGTTGAAAACATAACAGCCAAAGCAGTGACCATATCCTGGTTAATGTGTTCAATCAGTTGCTTGTTAGCGGGTGTGGCCCTATAAAATTACGTGACAAATGTAATGCATTTTGTTCAAAAATTAAAACATCGACAATCTTACTGTTGATACAATTTTCCTATTGTTCCCGCCAACTCATAAAAATGCTGCATATATCTGAACATAAATGAAGTGAAAGAAATGTAAGTTAAACTATTTGGATGTTCATCTTTCTTCAATTTCTTAACTTACACGTTATACTCATATTTGGCACCTTTTAAGTTGTATGTGTTAATCACCATTTGAATTTGATCAACGAGGCCGTCAATAGTACTAAATTTAAATTCAACATTGTTTAAAAAATGAAGATCGTTAAATGTGATTAACTCACGTATTTGGGGCACTTGAATCACCTGCTTCTTGTAAATACCTAGTAGTAGTTAAGTAATAAAATTAGTTTTTTTTTTTTTCAAAAATAGATCAATATGTAGGTTTAATACTTAGTACATACAATTGAGTCCAACCGTTATCAGATAAATATTTCAAACCAGTCAGAAATTTGGCATTATTGGGATTGTAAACAGGCAAATCAATTTTTTCACTAACACCCCAAACTCCAAAAACTGAGAAAAATATACAGTTATAATCAGTAGCTACCCTCGCCTGAGGTGTTGAAAATTCTTTCCATCACCAAGTGGAATCGAAATCCCTTATTAGAATGGGGCTGTGGAAAAGTTTTTCGATTTTCTAGGGAAAATTGAAGTAGATAGAATGACAGATCTAATCCCCATAAAAATGTAACCTCGCACACTACCAGTTATGACCAAAATAAATATAGTAAATAAGTGATGTATGTGAATGTGTGATTTAGAAAAATTATGACTCAAATATTAAGTATATTCGTTAATCAAAAACCCTAGCAAATCGAAATAATTCTCCGCTCTAACAGAAAATTGAGGACCTAAATAAAAGGTCGCCACTTTCTTGCAAAAAAATCCCGGTTAATGGAAAGAAGTACTCAATACGGGATTACACCCCCTGTGCCCATGTATGATATAAAACCTTCTCATTTTTTTATTGAAATTACCAACTGCTGGAGCCTATTTAAAAGAAGAAATAGAATTATATAGAAATAAAATCGAATATTACTATTCTCTTAAAAGGATTATCTTCACTCACCACACACAAAAAACTCAAAGTTGTCAATAATTTTGCCATCGTTACTTTAGTTTTGCTTTGTCACCGTTTCTATTGAATGTTTCTAATGCGAATGAAATATTTAGCTGAGAAGGCTTGAATTTATAGCAATCTTTTGGAATTCCTGAAATACATCTGTTTAAAAAATAAACGTGTAAACTAATTTTATTTTGAATTACCTATATGTTTGCACAAGAAAGAAAAACAGCTCCGCGAAAATACATTTGTTGTAAATTCGGATAACCCATTATGTCCTAGAAGTTCTGGGTTAAAACTATTTTTTTATTTTTGGAATACAGTGTTAGGGTTCAACGGAGTTAAATTTTAATTTTTGATTATAATTTATTTTCCAACATTTCATGTGAATTAAATGATTCATTTGGCATGAAACGCAAATGATTTTGATCCATTTACCACTGCTTTACCTGCAAAACAATTTCGTTGAGAAACATTATGGGTTAACACGTAAAAATGAAGTGATGAAAGGCAATAGAAACAGTTTGTAATCTATACGTTCAAATTTCTCTTCATAACAACAAGTTTCATAATCAAGGTGACTTTTGCGATCATTTGGCAGCACGTGGAAAAATTGAGTACATGGGACCTGTCTATATAGGTAATTTCGACATCTTATCTTATTATCTTGAAGAGAATATTCTTTGTTTTTTGCAAGCACATATTCCAATTTTATTTTCAATATAATCACAACAACAACAATCATTTATAGACCGATTGTACCTTTCAGTGTACCTTTCAGGCCTGTGTACGAAATGAAAAGCATCACATTTATTTCCAAACTGCTCGATATCCAGGTCTTTAGTTTCTCTACACCAATCACACCCATTAACATCTAAATCTCACTCTACGAGGTATTTCCCTGTTCCCTGTCTCATATCTTTTACCATTTCGGGAAATCGTCCTATATGGTCACTGCTTTGACTGTAATGCATTCAACATTATAGTAAATGGTTAAAACTTACCGAATTGTGACTCGTAGCAAGAATAACAACGTCATCTCAATTGCCGAAAACAAAATAGGTTTGCCACCTGGAATTAACATCAACTATAGATTTTTTTCTGTTTTATTATAATATCTTATTTTGATAAATTCCTTTCTGAAAGTAAAATATAAGACCATCCTCCTGGTTTTCGGAAACCAAAAATTTCTCTAGCAAATCAGACAAATTTTCGTTTTTTTTTTTTTTTGGAAGTCACCTTTTTGATGCGAAAATCCCTAGAAAATCGAAAGAATTTTCTCCGCGAAAAACCCTAGCAAATCGGAAAAAATTCACTCGGAACCAAAATACCTAGGAAATTGAAAGAATTCTCCTCAATTTTCTACATTGATGAGCTAAAGAAAAAAAAGATCTTCACTTTTGGAATCTAAAAACCCTAGCAAATTCGAATAATTTTCGCGAAAAATTTTTTCTCATCCAAATCACAGGGGGGGGGAGTAAACACCATACAGGCATGTCTCCCATACAAATTTTTGGGACATATCATACAAATTTCATCGTATCGCATAATAAATATCAGATTCGATTTTCTCGTTCCAAAAAACCGCCAACACTAATTTTCAGAAAAATCGTTCAAGAGTTTTCCAGAGTAGACCAAAATGTAAACTTCCAAAAAAATTGTATGAAGTCATGAACCAACCAAGCAAAACGGTTATTACCATTGAAATCCTTGGCTCGGAATCAGGTAGGAAAAATCTAGGACATTCTATACGATTTCACAAATGTTGGAGACGCACACACTCAATTTCATATAAACATTTTATTTCCAAACATATAAATAATTATGAAACTCATGTCATTTGAGAATATCATACAAAAATCGGTGAACGTATGGGCGTCTCCACCATGAGTAAAATCGTATAAAAATGTATGATTTTCAAGTACTGTGCAGTATTTGACGATCATTCATTAGTATCAATGTACGGCAGATTGTCTACATATTACATTCATTCATTCATATTATAGTACATGTAACGATGCGGTAACGTTCGATGTCTTTTTTATGAATTCAATCTGACTTACAAAATGCATGCTGTCTTACTTTTTTTATTTACATGATTTTATTTCAACAAATATTCTCTTTAAATAATAGCCAAATGAAAAGAATAAAATAAAAATCATTTTGAAAATTTTTCACAAATTATCGAAATGAATACGTGTTTCCTGAAAAATTTATTACGTTGTACACATACATTCTTCGTTTAAGAATAATTTTTTGAAAAATATGTGGTTACATATTTTATTTACTTCCAATAAATTAAGCAAACTAACGCTCTTTTCGATCTCTTACGAATAGATATGCGATACATCCTACAATAACACAAAATGTGTATTGGTGTGGGCTGTTAAATTTACCAATTCGATGTATGTATATGTTTCCATTCAGTAAACTATCTGCCTACAACAGCAAACATAAAAAATCCGCGCGCATTTTATATGTACCATATATAAGCGTATGGCTATGTTTATTTGTATACAGAACAGTGGAGGAATCTGAGACGCTATACGTATACATCTTGCAATGCCGCATACACACTGAACACGCAATGAGTAATGTTGTGCATTTTCGGTTTGTGTATAATACAATTATTACACTTTTGCTAATGCATTATCGATCATTTCATTTGAAAAGTTAAATTTTGAATAAAGATATACAAGTAAAATGTCTTCTAACATTTCATAGTTATAGTATATTGTTAAACAAGTAAAAAATAATCTAACGGCTCGTCGATTTGACAATCTCATTGAAATTAAACCAGCGTAAGTCGACTTACGACGTACGGCATACATACGGTATCCGCACAAACTCACACACATATAGACATATGAAGAATGAAGCTATGGTAGTCATTCACAAAATTCCTACACATTGAATGGCGTATGGCGTGCGGTTCGAATAACGCATTGCCCACCAGCGTCTTACACATATACTTACACACCGTCAACAACCTCAATAGAAATCCAAAATATTTCGCTTACAAGCCAGAATTATAAAAGGTAATCTACTAGTGATGGATTCAATATGGCGGATGATACACGCAAAGTTCGTGTGGAAGAAAGACTAAAAGTAAAAATTGGTAGGTTTTTTAAAACTAATGAATTTCTTGTCTCATAATCGACAAAATCATCAAAGTGTTATTATTGTGTGCAAAATATTTATGTGAAATACCGTTTGAAGAATATTAATTACAACGAATTAAGACTGGCGTTGTTTTCACAGAGAAAGGGAACAACAGTCAGTAGTAAAACATCAAATCTGTGTGTGAATTGAAAGCGAACAGGAAAATGATGTTTTTTTTGTTGTTGTACTTGTGTTGTTGGTGTTGTTGCCTTTGTGCTGTGGGCCGTACACAACAAAAATGTGAAACTGTGCTCATGTATTTATTCATTCAATCGATGAAGAGACGAATCGGTTATTTATTGGTGTATAAGTCAGTTAAAATCGAAGCAAATAATAGACATAATGATCTAAAATATTCATAAATATTTACCAAAAATAATGTGTTGAAAACTGACTTTTTTAAATTATAAATTTATGAGAGATTGAGATAGATGTTCATTTGATATGTATGTCACCAATACAGCACTTTCTCGCATGTAATTTCGCAAAATGAATACCCAAGCCATGTGCAGGTGGTCAGAAATTCATGAAAATTTTATGTGGTATATGAAGTATTTCACATTTATGGATATAATAAAGGTGGCAGAGAGATTTTACCGTACTTGATTAACAAATCGTTCAGTTTGATTGATCGCTTACTTCGTTTTTCTACACTTTCATTTATTCATATGAATAATTGTGTGTGTAATTCATCAATATTTATATTCCGAAATGAAATGAGGAGCATAACAAGGAAAAAATCTTCATTTTTTAATCGGAGACCCGCTTTTGAAAATGAACAATTTTGTGTTTACGTGTATATTGTGCGTTCAAGTGTCATAATTTATAATCCAAATTGCCTCTATTCCGGAATAAATTTATCCAGTAGCGTTACAGATATTATTAGCATTTGTTTGATCGAATATTATTTTCTCATGATAAAGAGAATAACGCGTGCACAATGTAAGTGACTGTGATGGTGAAATACAATGGCGCATCAGGTCGCTGTATATTTTTATTGGCGTTTTTTTTTTTGTTTCGTTTGTAGTAGTGTTATCGTGTCCGCATCATATATCTCCCACATGTAACAACAAAAAGTCATTCTGATTCAAGAAAAAATTGTGCCACTCCAAATGTATGCGTGAATTTATTAATGGCCCAAAATCTAATGAATGAACTTTTCATGTACACATTCACACATATGTATATTTGTCATGCGAATGCGCAGAAGTTCGAAACAATGAATTGTGCTTTTGACTTGGTTCGTTGATATCGCGCTCTTGTTTACACAGCAAATTGTTGTTGTTTACTATATCTCGATATTAACCAGCAACAGTTTGAATGAGTTGAATAATGTGTAATGAATGCACTGATTTCCACAAGGATATTTCCGTTTCTTTCTTTATCGCCATTGATATTTTTTTTTTTTCAATATCAACAAAAAAAGTGTGTTAGAATAAAAAAAATAATAAAAGAAATAATTTTCGATATTTCGACACATAATACAACAAATGTACACATTTTGGGGGAATTTTTCGAAATCGAATAATTACGTAAAAATAAATATATAATTAAATGAAATCTAATGTTCAACGAATATTTTCCATATAACTCACGTATTCTAATTGTTTTATTCATTTGTTTGCTCTTTTTTTCAACTTTGAACAGGCGAGGCCAAGAATTTGCAAGGCCGAAGCCACTGTACAAATGGCTCGAATGCTGCTTTCCGCGATGTTTATTGCACAGTTGCCTTGGATCAAGAAGAAATTACGCGAACGCCAACGATTGAACGAACGCTAAGTCCATTTTTTGGTGAAGAGTATCAATTTGAAATACCACGAAAATTTCGATATCTAGCCGTTTACATATGGGATCGAGATAAGCATTTGAAACAAGATAAGGCTATTGGTAAAATTGCAATAAAACGTGAGGAATTGCATTCGTACAATCATAAAGATCATTGGTTCGCCTTGCAGTCAGTTGATGCTGATTCAGAAGTACAGGGCATGGCACATATCGTACTCTCAATCGACGATGGGATCGGCAATTTAAAACGAAGATCAGATTTTGATGACTCGATTACTTTGCATACCACAAAAACCACTGTAAATCCAACGACAAATTTAAATGATTTGGCTGGAATTGGATCTACATCATCGTCGTCATCATCATCAGTATTCAAAAATGATGGTAACAGTGAGTTTAAGGAGAATAAAACATCGAACGATGCACAAGCAGCAAATACTCATGGTGGAAGCATTAAAACAGCATCTTGTGTGTCATCATCCATTCCAAATAATTCAAGTGGAAATAGTGGTTGTAGTAGTACAATTAGTAAGACGAGAAGCATTTTTGGTAACACCGATCTTAGTTTGTTTAGTTCACAAAGTAAGAAAACCAGCTCGAATACGCTGGACACATTAGGATCATTTCGAAATGGTGTGAAAAGTCGTGTCGCAATACGTGTATTGGAGTGTGTTGAATTAGCTAAAAAAAATGGTAACTGCGATCCATATATTATAGTGACAGCTATCTATACAAATAAAAAGAAAATTGTGAAGCGAACGAAATCTCGAAAAAAAACAATAAATCCAAAGTTCGACGAAACAATGAATTTTGACTTAAGCATTGATTGTGACAGCAAGTCGATTATGGGTAATAATGTATATACGGTGGCCCCACTAGATGGTGCCGATTTATTTGAATTAAGTGTTACTGTGTGGCATGATGTTGGTGTGGGTGAAGATGTATTTTTAGGTGAAATTAAAATCCCACTGCACGGCAAACAACAACAAAATGCAATCAAACCGGATGCTTGGTATTACTTTCAACCACGAAGTACCCTAGCCCGGCCAACACGATCGTGTGCAACACCACCGGGCACCCGGCTCAGCAGCGACAATTCACTCGGTTCTTTACGTTTAAAATTAGTTTATACTGCCGATCATGTATTTCCCCTAGCAACTTATGACAATCTACTAAATTTACTCATACAAAGTCTGCAGCAGCCGATTACATTGTCACCCATTTATATTCTCGGTGAGCTTGTATCAAATAAAACCGAAATCGCACAGCCTCTGGTGCGCCTATTCACCCATGAGAACATAATATCGCCCGTCATCAAGGCGCTGGCTGATTACGAAATATCAAAATTAACCGATCAAACAACGATATTCCGCGGAAACACACTCGTTAGCAAAATGATGGACGAGGTTATGAGACTTTCCGGTTTACATTACTTACATAGCACTTTACGTCCCATTGTTGACGCTATTTTGGCTGAAAAGAAACCGTGCGAGATCGATCCGACGCGTGTTAAAGATAAATCAATGGCTGAGAACAATCTAGTAAATTTACAAGAGTATGTAGAACGAGTATTCGAGGCTATAATTAACAGTGCGGTGAGATGCCCGCCGATTTTATGCCAAATATTTCATGATCTCAGAGAATGTGCAGCAAAATATTTTCCGCATAACAAAGAAGTACGATATTCCGTGGTATCCGGATTTATATTCCTTCGGTTTTTCGCTCCCGCAATACTTGGACCAAAATTATTCGATCTTACAACAGAACCATTGGTGAGTTGATTTCAATTTTTGTGTATATTACATTTATTTGAATATTTTCACCATATTCGGTTAACAACATAATATTTTATTTATATATGCATAACGTACTAAAGTACGTACTACGTAGGTGTTGATATGTTTGTTTAAACTTTAAAGTACGGAATAAGACCCGTTCCAAATCTCCATAATCACAATAACTTAGTTTGAACAAAAATTATTTGCTTAAATAATTTGGAAGCAAGAATCTAAATAAAAAAGATTGTAATCTGTAAAACCAATTTGTTATATAATAAATATATGTAGAATTTGTTTATTAGAATAGAACAGCGTTTTTTTTTTCGGTGAACACCTCTTCAAAGTATATTGAACGTTTGCATTTATTGGATTCTATATGCTTGCTGAATCGATATTTTGTTACCTTTTATATTGTTTTTGTCTACCAATTTTTGTTTTAATAGAAAATATGCCCAATACGTAGTATGGCAACGTGGGAAGTAATACAAAAAAATGTTAATTGGAATAAGTGTTGTTCAGCTTTGTAATATGGTTCTTTGAATTTATGCTATAAATAGTGTAATAGAAAAATATATTTTTAATATCAAAAAAATCTGTAGTCCAAGACCATTTTATGCATTTGAAATTTGTGAATACACTCATTGTTTGAATACAATTAGTACAAAATGATATGAGCATATTTTTGCGTTTATTTTAATGAAAAGTCAATTAATCAGAGGATTTCAATGATTTTTTTCAGGATATTCAAACAAATCGAACATTAACTCTTATATCGAAGACCATAAATTCTCTCGGTAATTTAGTCTGTTCTCGATCTGCCCAACAACCATGTAAAGAGGAATATACTGGCCAATTATACAAGAAATTTTGTACCGAGAAACATGTAGAGGCTGTAAAACACTTTTTGGAAGTTATATCGACCATTGGAGCAAATCCCAACGAAAATACACTCTTGGAACCTGTGCTACTCAAGGAAGGGTAAGAGTACAAGTTACATTGACGCATTGGAAAGATTTATTTTTCTTAAAACTAATCTAAATCATTTTGATGTTTCTTTTGGCAGAGTGATGACAAAACGATCTCAAGGACGCAGACGATTTGGTCGACATAATTTTAGACAACGTTATTTTCGTTTGACTACCCAATCGTTGAGCTATGCCAAATCAAAAGGCAAAAATCCAATCTGTGATATACCCTTATCTGAGATATTAGCCGTTGAAAGGCTAAACGAACGAAGTTTTAAGTTACAAAACATATTTCAGGTGTGTTGAATCAACAAATTCATTTGGTATAGATCTGCTCGAACGCATGTTAAATGAAATTCCATTTTTATTCTTTTTGATTTAGATTATAAGAAAAGATCGGACGTTGTATGTTAAAACTTCAAATTGCGTTGAAGAAAAAGATTGGGTGGATCTGTTGAGTAAAATTTGTCAATCAAATGCGGCACGTTTGGAAAGTTTTCATCCATCAGCATATATAAGTGGAGCATGGACATGGTAAAGATTTTTTTCAAATCAAAAATCAAATTTCATACATGTATTTTGATCAAAATAACATTGTTTTCATTCTATTTCATAATTATAGTTGTAAAGAGCGTGATCAATATGTGAAGGGATGCCAAACGGTGTCACCGTCGCCATTTCAGATGGGTTTAGCTACCACATTAGATCCTGCGCGTGACTTACAGCGTTTGAATACGTTAATTATAAATAATTTGGATGATTTAAAATTATTCACCGAACCAAATAGCGTTTACAGTAAAGAAATTGTTTCACCAGAGGATCTTCACCAATTTCATAAAAACGTTAAGGCAATGATTGACACAGCAGTTAAACTGCAACAAATTCATTTGACATATCGTGCTCTTATCGATCGTGAAATGAAATATGGCAGTCGGCAGGCACCAATTGGTGACGACAACTATTTACATCTAATACGAAGTGGTATGTGCACAGGCAGCAATCAAAATTCAACTGCGACGTTGCCAACACTGAATCATCATAGACATCACAATTTGGGCCTTGATAAATCACCTAATTTATTTATACGTAACGAAATGACGCGTAACTCATTAACAAACGAAAAATTCTCGCATTACTGACAGTTATTTTGATTCTCACCTTCCAAGTGGAAATGGAGAAATAGATAAAGCGAACTCATGACATTTGGTATCAATTAAAACGGAATTGTTCAGTTAGTTTTGTGTTCGATTTTCAATTGTAGATGTATTTCGTTATTTGTATACAACACAAATCCAACAAAAAAAGAACTTGAATATCTTCAGCACATATTAATTGTTTCAAAGCACAAAAATGTCACACGCACTCACTTCGTACACATTCACACAATTACAGCCCCTTGATATTGTTATCGATCAAGGATTAATACAGAAAGACAAAAAAAAAAAAAAAAATATGATGTTAACAATTTATCGAGTACATTTGATGTATGTCATGAATTGGCCTTCAATTTGTGTTGAATTCAATTCACATTTCAATTTGGTTTGTATGGAAATTTCCATTTCATATATTTCACATTCAGGGATGAAGTGAAGTTTTTGACAAGAAATTCTTTTCTTTTTTTAGATAAATACTTAAATTTCAATCCAGAAATGAATTTTTTTTTATTGTAGTAGAAAAGCTACGCTTTGATGTTTATTTTTAAAAATTTATATTAAATTTAATACGAAGTAGGCAAGTTAAAATTTAATTTTCTTTGTAAGATTTTCAGTTTTAATGCATTCAAAGGTTCATCATTCATTTTTCATTATCCTGAAATATACTTTTTGTTCTGATCACTATTCACCTCAGCTTCGAATCAAATCAAATCATTTCTTATCTTTTCAATTCAATGGACTAATCACGACGACTCGAATGATTGAATGAAATAAAAATAAAAATAAAAACAATGTGAAACACAAATTCTAGCTTTAAACAGTATACGCTCACGTGAAGCATGCAACCACATTGTAAATATTCCATAAATTCGGTCAATACATTTATGTTTCTATTATTTTTTATAATGTTAATGATTAATAATTATTAAATTGAAGTTTGCTGTTTATTTATTTTGTAAATAAAATATAGTAAATTGGATTTGATTCGAAGTAGGGACACACACTATAGTGACAAAAATATACCAATAATTCATTTAAATGTTTTGAATATCGATTTCTGTTCATTCTATTAATTTATTTACTTGACAATCGCATTTTATCGCATTTCAACACCATTCACTTCATACATTCAATTTGATATGATTTATTTTATTAATTTCTATTTAATGAAACAAAACAAAATTTTAACTCACATACAATGATCTATGATCGAATTAATTTCTAAACATTTACTAAACACTTTAATTTCAAACTGAAAACTTTAATGCTGGTATTCATTATGTGAGGTTATTTAGTCGAAATAAAAAAATTTCAATTTATAATTTTCAAAATGTGTTTTTTTTTTCACTGCTACTTTTTCAACTGAAAGCAACTCATGAAGTCTGATGATAATAATAATGATATTATTAATAATGTTTTATTAATCATAATAGTTTTTTGAATCTTTTCTAAATGTTATGTCACGCTTCAAGTCCAAGAGATCAGTGGCTTGACCAAATTTTTTAAGTTAATAAATATAATTTAATTTTGATTTTCGATTTTTTTTTAAATTTCGTTAGAATATACGCGGACGTTTTTATGTTTTATGGATTGCATTTTTTGGGAATTTTGAATGTTTCAACTTTCTTTTTAATGTCGCATCCAGAATGTGAGCTCAGTCAAAGACATGAAGTGACGAAAATTGGCCTTATCGTTAGAATGTGGTAAGTATAGTAAATGAGGTCCAACACTATGGTGCTTGATATATGGCTTTTACCATAGTTTGACCAAAGGCTGAATAACTTTTTCATGGAAGTTTGCATATTATATTTTATTAAGTGAACAATTATAAAAACTCATTTGTTTAAAAAAAATGACACAATAAATTGATTTTTACAACTGTTTTATTTTTAGTTTCTGGCCACTATTCCAGTTTTTACAATATATGAATGCATTACAACTTTGACTAATTCTGCAATTTTAGCTCAGAGACTCTAAACATATATTGATTGGTGAAAATGTTAGTTTTGTCCTTTAACAGCGGAAGGTTGTGAGCATCTATATTTTGCGAGCTCGATTTCAGCGCCGTGGTACGAGAATCTATCATACGAGAAATATTCTGGCGCTTTGTACGTGTTTGTTTTAGAAGCTCCCTCTCCGGGTCCTAATGGGCCTTCTTTTTGTTTGATCACATAAGAACTAAAGCCTGGAACGTTGGCATTTATTGAAGCACCTTCATCGGATTTCGGTGTAGATGTTGATTTTGGTTTTTGGCTGAAGAATCTCTTAATGGGAAATGTCTTCAAATTTGAAATGGACTTAATCGCTGACATGTTTTCCACCTATTGTGACAAAATTTCCACCTTTTTTTAACTATAAATTATGATAAAACAATGATTACTTTTCGTCTTTTTCTCAAATGAACATCTATTATGTCACTACTATGTTCACAATTGACAGCAGAACTGTCAAACAAATGGTCAGTGTGGAAAACGAAACAAACGAGGTAAATAGAACGTTTAAATGCATTGTCAGGAGTGCCAACTGTTTAATATAAAAAAGATAAAATGGTTGGTAACAAACCTGATAAGCGTGCATTTCATCTCATTTGCATAAACACAGTTTTTGACTACATCGTATTTGCGAAAAAAAAACATGTGTTTGTTTACGCTTGTTTGAGAAACTTACTTATGTCACACATATACACACACAATAACCGCATTGCTTTTATATTTAAAGAAATTGGACACATTTTTGGAATTTTATTTTGTTGAAAAAGTCATTTAATATAAATAGAATTTGGAGACATATTTTGTATAAATTCCTATTGGATACGTACGTATCCGAAACCATGAGTTCTTAAAACGTTCACACATATATATATGTTTCAGTAGAATACTAACACACTAGAATACTAACACAACATATGTACGAGTGAGGTGCAGAGAAAATATCATGGTTTTGACGCGAAATCAAGTATAAGATTAGTTACTGCTTGCTTTTTGTGCCGATGACATACACATCAGTTCCGTAATAAAAAAAATTACATGAAATTTGTAAGTTTCATCTTATGACAATGATTAATTCATGTCTCAATTTAACTAAAAACACCTAAGACTTTTTCACAATTATTTTACATCAAAATTTATAAACAATTTTTCTTTGAAAATCTATTTTGTTGAATAATAGCTACCTTTAGAACTTTTTTTACCTGTATTATGTCGCGTACGGAAAGAGTGGTCAATTTGTTTCAAATTAGCGTCGGTTCTTATTAGATCAAACATAGTTTCTTAGTTAATTGATTAATTTAATATTTTGTTGTATTGATGGGATTTTTTTTCCAAAGATCTGATAAGAAATTATTTTTATTTATTTTTTATTGTGATAATTTTAATCATGAAAATTTTACCCTTAGGTTTGAAATTTGGAGTCTACTTCCATAGGCTAGTTTAATAAAAAAATAATCATTTTCAGTTTTATGTATAATATACTAATGTAGTGTATTTATTTCAACAGTACGATTCAGCTTTTTAGTGTATTTGATTGAGTTGATTTATGACAAGCACGAAAACAAAAACACCGTTAATCTTATCTGAAGAGTTTCGCGCGTACTTGTATAACATCAAGCGGAATACAACAAAATTAACTTGAAAATGAATTCAAATGTAAGTTTCATCGAAAATCATCTAGAAAACAATTGTTTAAAATTTATCAAAAATTCTAACATTAAATTTTGTGATTTATTCTCTTTTTTACAGTTATTGCCGACTTTTGGTGATGACAAAACAATTGACGTGACAGTACTTGGATGTAGTATAATCGATTGTATAAGGTAATACAATTGCCAAAAACGAAAATATTGAACACTCATAGAAAAAGGGGTTTCATGCTCATGCGTGATCATAATTTATTATGAATATATAGATATTATTTTGTGATGTTAATGTCAATCAATTGTTTTATATGTTGTAAGTAATAAGTAATTCAATCTTTGAAATTACATTTTTCTCTCATTTTATATCAAATACAACTGTAAGTTATGTGCCGACTTTACCGAAGCCCGGCGAAACATTACGAGCCAGTCGGTATCAAACCGGATTTGGAGGTAAAGGTGCAAATCAATGCGTTGCAGCCGCAAAACTTGGTAGCAAAACTGCACTAATTTCGAAGGTAAAGTGTCCAACAATTAAATGGTTGACAATTTCATCACAGTGATCTCTTAATTTTCAGGTCGGCACCGACGATTGGGGCCAAAAATATCGCGACAATTTGGAAAAATTCAATGTTGAAGCAACGCATGTGGAAACGGTTAACGGAAGTACGGGTCTTGCACAAATTAACGTTTCAAGCGATGGTGAAAACCAAATCGTAATTATTCCTGGTGCAAGTGATGCATTATGTCCTGGTGATATTGATAAAGCAGCTGAAGTGATACGGAAGACTAAGGTATACAAAATACAATACTTGTTACTATTACTATATATAATGCTTTAATTCAGGCAAAATTCTGTAGATCATTATAAAGATAGATTGTGTACATCACCGATAAATACGCTTTCAGATAGGCAAAAATACACAAGATAAAGTAATACCATGTCTTCAATACCAAAACAAAATGACTAGAAATTGATTGTCATATTTGTTTTTGTTGTTTCAGTATAGTATGTTCACTTTCATCTGTTTTATTTGAATTGTTCTATTTCTATTTTTTACCTAGTTATCCGCACTAGAAAATATTTATATAATAAAACGTTAGAAATTCGCCGAAGATATATAGTAAAATTTCAATTTTTGATATTTGAATTAATAGAAATTGTTCCATTTCTTACGAGGTTCCACAAAAGTTACATCTGCAGAAGCCTCATCCAAAATTTGAATCGATTTGCGAAACTAGAAAATATATTTCTCACAAGTCAACATTTCTGAGAAAATTTGCAAATAATTTTTATCTTTTCAATTTCAGGTGTTGGTGTGTCAGTTGGAAAACCCACTACAAGCAACATTGGCTGCCCTTCGAATGAAAGACAAAAACTCTATCTCGATTTTAAATGCATCACCGTCACCAAACGAAAATACTTTGGAACTGTTCACGCTACCAACGATTTTGTGTGTAAATCAAGTGGAAGCAGCAGCACTAACAAGGCGAGATGTTCCCGATATTGAGTAAGTAAAATAATCTAAATTTGATTCTAGTAGTTTCTCTCATTGTTTTATTTCATGTCAATTGTTTAATTTTTCAGAGAAGCAAAGCGTGCAATTAGTAATTTCTTATGTCTCGGTTGCAATATCGTTATCATAACATTGGGAAGAGATGGTGCAATATTTGCTTCTGCTGATCATCCCAATCCAGTTCACGTGCGTGCGCCACGTATTGAAGATATTCTAGATACTACAGGTGCTGGCGATGCCTTTGTTGGTGCGTTGGCTCATTATTTGGCACGATATGACACAAACGTTCCGCTCTACAAGAAAATCGGAGGTGCTATAACGATCGCCTCCATGACCGTACAACAATATGGCACACAAACAAGCTATCCGAGTGCTAAAGAGCTTCGTTTTGATATTAGCTTAAAAAATTTCGACTACACTCAATTTTGAAAGGATTTATTTGTTTCTAAGCGGTTACAATAAATATAGGAGTGAATCGGACTTAAAAAAAAAAAAATACATTTATAATTTTGACCAATTGCGTCAACGATTCATTATTCTCACATTTATACGAAGCCTCAATATAATATATCGAAAATGTCTCTGACGTGAGCACAAATTTAATTGTTCAAATAAAGTACTGCAAAAATAGACTAAAACAATTCTTTTTTTAATGAATTCTACCAGTTATGGTGTTTGCTAATAGTGAACTACTATTATCATTTTATTATATCATTTACAAGATGTGTTGTAGGTTTTACCAACTAATATATTTTCCACTTTTTAAGAATGATGATCTTTTTGTCTCACAGACTGTGAGTCACAGTATACTGCTATAACGTCTCCCAAAAATTTATATTTGAAGACATGTCGAGACCGTTTGATTTTTCGTCGAAAAATGTCTGAAATATTTCAATATAAAATCGTACGACACATTTTTTTTTTGCACGACAATACGATTCTTGACGCATTTTGGTGAAAATTTTAAAACAAACAACACCAAACGTCATTTTGTACAAATACATAACGAATTTTAAAATTATTTTTCTTCTTCTTCGTGCCGAGTTGGTCTTCTCACTTCAAATGACAATAATTTTGCAGTCAGAAGTCGCCAAAAATATGACAAGTTTTTGTATTAGTAACAAATTATCTTCAAAGGAATGTCATTGACATCTTCAAATTTTTTCAGTCATTATCAGACAGTGTTGACCGTGAATAAATGATTTACTGTGGAAATTATTATGTTTTATTTCCTGCAGAAACTCTTGTTTTGACTTTTGTTAAATTATAGCGAAAGCCGAAAATTTTCATGTTTTTTTATGAATTCAGAAATTGTCTTTTTAGGTAAAATTACAGAAAAAATATTGTATATTTTTATAGAGCAGTTGGTTTGCCAACATCGTGCATTTTAGCTGCGTCAGAGAGGAATGGTTTAAACAGAAAATATTAAACGTCACTTTGTGTTCATACAAAACGAATTCTCAATGCCGACGCTCAGTTTCACACTTGTAACCTTGCACTGCAGTTAGTACCGCTACGCCTACTGTGACATTTGGTTGCAATCGAAAATCGTGTTGTTTGCTTTTGTGGCGGGAAACAGATCGGATCAAAACGGTGGAAAAAGGGTAAAATAAATAAGCTGAAAAAGAATTTTCCGAATAGAAACATTAATTACATTAGCATATTACATGAAAAATAAGTAGAAATTGTGTATTTTCCAAAAAACGTTCCGTTAAATCATCAAACAGATTTCAAGGAATCGAGAGGTCACACAAAAACAAAAAAAAATAATTAAAATCTTCCAAATTCCGTTGAATAATTTACGAAAACGCTCAAATATCTTTGATAGGTATATGTTCATTAGCAGAAAAAATCAATTTATTTGCTGTCACAATGGATGTCGTTTTTAAATTGCGAGGTAAAGAATTACCGGATATAAGCAAACAGAATACACGTGATACATCACAAAAAGAAAGTGAACAAGAACGTTCTCCTGTGAAAAACGTTCGTAGTCCGACCCAGAGAGAATCTCCAGAAAAGAGTGATCAAAATGAAAGCACTCAGAATGTGGTAAGTATTGTTAAACGAACATATTGTGAATATATTCCATCCAAATGATTTGTTAACAGAGCAAAAGTCATGCCACAGAAACTGAAGATAGAACACCCAAGAAAGATAAAAATGTACCGCGTTCGAAAGCGCAAGATGATTTAGGTGAATCAACAAGTTCATCGGATCGAGGTCCAGCCAACGCAGAATCTCCAGAAGAAAATGATGAAAATGAAAGCAACCAGCAAGTGGTATGAAATTAAAGCACAAATTAATAAATCGTCGTAATGTTTAATACAAATAACTCTTTAATAGGAAAAAAGTAATGACACAAGCAACGAAGATGAGCCCCTTCAACAAGAACAAAATCATTCTCCTCCGGGAAACGCGGATAACTTGAATGATGCAGCCACACCTTTGGATGCGGATCCGTTAACAGTTCAACACGTAAGTCCACAATACAATAAAAATTTGTATTGCATACAATCAACTAAGAACATGATTTTACATTTTATTTCTCTTCCAGAGTGATGGATCCAAAGAATCGATTCATATGGCAGATGGCACACCAAATATTATTATATTACCACGACAATTACCACTAAAACCTTCATCAAGAAAGTTGCCAGGCGAGAAAGTAAGACAGAGAACCAAAAGAAGAATTCGTGTATTGAAAGAAATTAAAAGACTACAAGAGTCGTGGAATTTACTCATTCCTCGCTTACCATTTCAACGTTTGGTACGCGAAATAATGCAGGAACATAAAAAACATGACTATCGATTGCAAGCCGCTGCCGTTGGAGCATTGCATGAAGCAGCTGAATATGTTTTGGTCGAAATATTTCAAGAATCATGGGATCTTGTTGCACACCGAAGCATGAAAACCCTCAAAGAAAAGGATTATCGAATGGCGAATAGAATCCGTGAAAATTTTGACGGCCGTTTTCGGACCTAGATTATTCATTTAAAGAGTATTTAAGTTAGATCCAGCTTCTACTCTTGATTTTTATTTTGAAAATATTTTGTGCACGTATAATGTTTGAAAATAGAAAGTTGTTCATTTAATTCCAATGTTGACCAGAAGAATAAACAATCTAAATAAATAATGTGTGAAAATCGATCTGTTTGAGTTTATTCGTGTAGATTTCAAATATTTATAATGTATACACTGTTTATAGCTCAAACATAAAATGATAACAATATGTTTTCGATAGCAAGGTATGTGATAATATATTGGGCATTTCTTCAAGGCAATAAATTGATATTGTAATCGGCTAAATTTCTCAATATTGACTCATCTATTGTTGATACCAGAACGTTGAAACGTTCATTGCCCAAACCAAGTTTTGCTTGGTACAATTGAGACTGAAAGTAGTTCAGTAAAACCACTGTGTGCACAGGATCCTACATAAGAATTAAAAAAAAAAACAACAAATTATTTCAATATTTAATGATTGAAAGATGATAAAGAGAACTGACTTTCATGCAGACCGATCGACATCGATCGTAGTGATGTGTGCTGTAGAATATATGTTCCATTTTGAAGAGACCATCGTCGTCTATTGGTGTTTCATCTGTTAAAATCAATGAACTGAAACCAAAAACATTAATATTTATGTATAAGCAATGTATACTTCTTCTGTACTCACTCAACTAATGCATTTGCATCGTCTCCCAAATCTTCCTTCATAATATCGTTCAAAGTTTCACAAATACATTGAATAATAACATCAAAGCGTTGATAAATAATATCATCTTGTACAGTTAATAAACTTGCCAAAGCTAAACCTGAAAAACATACACACACACACACACATTGTATACATTTGACTGCATTGGTACGCACCAACGTTTAACTTACTCAAAAGTTTTCTTTTATCACTTTGGCCTATTAATGGCATTTTTCTGAGCCAAATGTCCATAAAAGTTTCAAACGGTGCAGGTATATTGAGCCCTTGAATTACTTGAATAAATATCATTTGATTTAGAATTAGTACACGCGACACAATTGATAAGTACGATGACATCACCATTTGCCATTCATCGTCTTCAGTCACTTTTCTGTAAAATGGTAGGCGAATTGTTTAAAATCGAGTATTGTTTAAATGTGTCAAAGATGAATGTACTTGAAAATGCTGGGTAGAGCTGATGAGATTAATTCAACGCCATAGTTGCCTGTTGATCTCAAAATTGACTCAAACAAACGCATTATCATCACAATTCCTTCTGATCGTAGATCAGTAAGTAAATACATGCATGTGTCGACAATTTTTTTGCCATGTTGCTGTAAATAGACTTCTGCATCCAATAAAATGTACGCTTGAATTATGCTGAATACTGTCCGAATATTTTCCGATGAATTTTCTATTAGATTAATGATATAAAATATGATTTTCATTTCATGTAATATTGTCAGGGCCCTGGCCCAGGGTAGATAATTATGCCGATCAATAAAAATATTAACCTATCAATGGCACTAGATTTGAGCTCAATCTAAGCAATTCCGGTGTTAATGCTGTGCTATTTTGCACGACCACAAGCCACAATTCTAGTGCATCTTCCAAAAAGTATATATGGGATGGCTCCTCTTTATCTGTGCTCATTGCGATAACCGGGTACAAAAATGATGCGAGGAACGGTGGAATATCAGATATGGCAACAATGATTTGTAGCTATAATAAAACGAAAATCGTTATTCAACAAATTTAAACAGTAATTTGTGATAAGTGACATTTACCAAAGCGGATAGAATCGCGCAACGTAACATATTATGATCTTGGCTTTCATTCCATAGCATTGGTAAATAGTGACACAGACTTTCAGCATCATTTGATAATTTATCGCCCATTTTGTCCACCACAACTGACATCACATTTAACACTGACATCTTTGTTTCACACTCCTTCGCTTCTCTCAATAGCTGAAATAATGCTGAGAATGTGGGTTGCACATATTCTTCAAATTGTACCGAATCAAATTCGAAATCACTTAATGTGCTCATCAGTGCTCTGAAATATTTAAAAAAAAAGGTTAAATAAACGTACACCAACAATACATTTTTTCGTTTTGTTTTTCTTCTTACTTGCAAGATGCCAAACGAACGCATATGTCTTCATTTGACTGAAGTAAATGTAAACAAACTTCATACACCTTTGGCCTAAGATTAGAATCAAATTTTACACTAGTCCATTGCCCTATCAACCATATTATGCGTCTTCGGATGATTCGGAAATGAATTCCCTGCGTACTGTAAAAAACAATTGAAATTGGTTTGATTAGATTCAGATTATGCAAAGAAAATAAAAATCTAGTTACAGCGTGAGCTCTTGCAGCAGTTGATTAGTGAACCATTCATCGAAGTTAATCTATAAATATGGGGGAAAATGTAATCAACATATGTAAACATGTATAATTTGGGTAATTAAAGAATGCAAAATATAACCCACTTCATCGAATAAGTTAAATGATGACAATCCGGCCGCCTTATAAATGGCATCTTTCAAAAATATATCTTTCATCTCCGAGCCTTGATGAAAAGTATTTTCCTGTGCTTTACGTATTAATTTAACCAAATCAACAACCATATCGGGACGATATTGACTAAACAGAGTCAAATAAAATGATTCTGTGCACGGTCGTAAATCATATTTCCACGATTCACCGCATTCATCGCAAGAGTATTGCTCAGCATCGTCATCCCATAGATCTAAGTCCTTTTGTGTTAGCAAAAAGTAATGTGTTATTATTTTTTCGCTAATATAGCTCAATCGTTCGACGGTGAAGAAAATATTTTTTGCATCTGTTTTTATTGGTGCGTCTTCTTCGGTGCTGGTTTTCATAGCGATTTGTTTCATTAAATTGATGCAATGTATTGCAAAATTCGGAAAATTTATTTGATTATTTGCGTCGAAAATTAAACGAGTTCCCGTATAAAAAACATAATTGAAGGCAAACTCCAATGATGCTGGTAATAAATTGATGAAATATTTTGTATGATTATCCAAGTATTCGTACAATATTTTCATAAATTTCAACACAAATTTTTCAATCAATTCAATCAATCGTCCAAGTATCGGTGCATTTCCCGCACTATTGTTCATCTGCTGATGTTGCATTTCCAACAAACGAAAACGATATTCCAGCAACTTATTGAGACATGGAATTATTGAATTCATGAACAGTGCACATGGTTCGAATTGGATCGGCTCATTAATTCCGAAAATGGTAAGTTTTCTTAAAATGCGTAATGTCACTAGTGCTTTATCCAAATGACCGTAACTCGAATCTATGTTTGTATTTTCGTCGAGACTTTGAAAGAATGATTGTGTATATAATTGGAATAGTTGGAAAATGCATGGGTATAACTGGTAACTGAGGTCCTGAATGTCATGAATAAACAAATAAACTGTCAGTATACGATAAAAAACCATTCCGGAAATACGTACCTTAAACACTCTGCGATCATTTCTCAAACGTTTCGAGGCCAGTGTTTTAACCACTTGTTGTAAAATCATAAGTCCACGATGCTGATGTAGGGATTCTGATGATCCAATAACTTCTTCCAATCGTGGCATAAGCTAAACAGAAGAAAACGTTTCGTTTACTACGTTCATCTGGTGAGCGATATCTTTTCAATAATTCATTACCTCAATCCAATCATTTGGATAGTCGAAACGTGAGATGTTTCCTAAAAGAACTGCAATTTGAATCGCAATTTGCGGTATGGGCTCTTTGAATGAATGGGCCAGCAATAAACATTTGATGTCCCTCTTCTCGCTTTCAGAAATTGCACTGTAGTGAACAAAAGCACACAATTAAAGACACGTGGATCCAACAAATATTCCTTTATCAATTGATTTAATGTTACTTGGTTGCATTTTTTCTCCAATATTTTGTGATCCCATTTTTCAAATAAACAGTTGCCATCCACCGGACATTTGTTTCGACATTTTCATAGGCAAATATAATGTGAGTAATCGTTGTGTAAAAACCGGCTTGTGTTTCCCATTCGGCCAATTTACTTTCGTTGATTTTTAGAAGATTTGCGTTTTGGCTACAAACACATTGCAGTGCATCTAATACTTTGAATTGCGGCGAATTTACATCAATCACATTCATGTTTGGATGTTTGCCTTGTTTTCTCTCGAGCACTTATGTTGTGGTCTGCAGTAACGAAATTACGAACAAAAAAAAAATTAATTATTTGCCGGATGACGTCTTTTCTTTTATTTCGACAAAATGAAATTGCAAAAAGAACGTCAGTAGCGAATAAAAACCGAATGAGGTTAGAGGAGTTGTTTGACAATGCAAATAAGTGCATTACTTTAACCAATGGAACAATAAATATTTAATTACTTTTAACACTCTGTTAAACCAAAATGGAACAATAAATATTTAATTACTTTTAACACTCTGTTAAACCAAAATGGATTTTTATCGGTCGAAAACAGATAATACGTACTTTTTGTTAAAATGTTTATATCGTCAATAAAACCAAATTGTGATTGTATTCAAGAACTGATTCAGTTTTCAATTGCAAAACGTAGAAACAACACATTTGACAGATGCGTAAATGCGAATACAACACCGTAGAAAAGTCAGTGCGATAAACGAATTATTCAAACACAATCTGTCACTTTGACATTTCAAACGAACAAAAAAAGTACGCAGCCCAATCAGCAGCGGCTTTGTACTACATCATTGGTTGTGTTCATCTGTCAAATAAAAAAAAATCCAACTCGAAAACGTGGATCCAGATTGCATCAGAGTAAAAAAAAAGTTTCACTACACTATCATTCACACTGCCGTATAAAGTCAAACACCGAAATTGAGGACAGTTCATAATAATTTGCCTTTCATTCATTTCAAACTAAATACATTTCCGTACATATTGCATATCGTAACTTTAGTGCATAGAAAATGCCTTCTGAAGATTTAGCACGCCTTTCACTTGGTAAGTAAATAGATCGACAGACCAAAAATCATAGAAAATGTGTATTTTTCTTTCATTTAATGATTGATATTTTGATTTAGACGCCATTTATACGTCAGAGAAAAATGGAAATGATGAAAGTGGCAATGGCACTGAGTCAGCACCATTTAAAACGATTTTGCAAGCGATGCGTCACGCTGGAAAGGAACCATTTCCAACTATTTATGTAGATGCAAAGGATGAAAAGGCCGAATCAGCATTCGAACCAGCTGCAAAATCACAGCTGAAAAAAATCCAAAAGATTTGGGCACGCGAAGTGAGCAAAAACGCTGATAAATCGAAACGTGAAGAAGAAGATGCTAAAAAACGTGAACAAAACCTTGGAGATGCACGTAAAATTAAAATTACCGAAGATCCATCATGGTCAGCTGCAAAGCAAATTAAAATCCGTGATTCGGTTGCCAATCGTAACATTCGCGTGAAAATCTATGGTTGGGTTCATCGATTGCGACGACAAGGCAAAGCTCTAATGTTCATTACACTTCGTGATGGCACTGGTTATATACAGTGCGTTTTGACTGATTTACTATGTCAGACATACGATGCTTTGGTGTTATCAACAGAGTCATCCATTCAAATTTTCGGAACGATCATCGAAGTTCCGGAAGGAAAAACGGCACCAGACGGCCATGAATTGAAAGTCGATTACTATAAAGTTATTGGACTGGCACCAGCCGGAGGTGCTGATACAATTTTGAACGAAGAGTCGCATCCCGATGTTCAATTAGATAATCGACACATTATGATCCGAGGTGAAACCACTTCAAAAGTTCTGAAAATGCGAAGTGTTGTACTCAATGCATTCCGTTCGCATTATGCTGACCAGGTGATTTTGCATGAAACACTATTTATTTAAGATCGACAGCAAAACCACTTGCACAATTATGGAAAACAAATCGCCTGTTTAAGGCTTGAAAATGGTCATTCTCTTAAACGTACATAAATTCAATTTTTCTTTTCTATAGGGCTATAACGAAATAACACCACCCACGTTAGTTCAAACGCAAGTAGAAGGTGGCGCAACTTTATTCAAATTAAAATATTTTGAGTAAGTTTCTGAAAAGAGTGCTTTATTTAAAAAAAAACTAAAATTCGTGATTCTTTTGATTTGCAGTGAAGAGGCTTATCTTACACAAAGCTCGCAACTATACCTAGAGACTGTTCTACCAGCGCTCGGAGATGTTTATTGCATTGCTCAATCATATCGTGCGGAAGCAAGTCGTACTCGCAGACATTTGGCTGAATATAGTCATATTGAGGCCGAATGTCCATTCATCACGTTCGATGAATTACTTGACAGACTCGAAGAATTAGTATGTGATGTAGTTGATCGTGTATTGAAATCACCGTTTGGACATTACGTCAAAGAATTTAATCCCGAGTTTGTACCGCCAAAAAGACCATTCCGACGAATGAACTATAAGGATGCTATCGATTGGCTGAAAGAAAACAATGTGACCAAGGATGATGGTACATTATATGTTTCCGATTATTTTCGATTATTTTCCGATTACTTATCGATTATTTTAAATTTTATTCTTTTCTTTTGTGATTCTCCCCTTAGGTACATTCTATGAATACGGTGAAGTAAGTTTTTTTTTATATGTGTGTATACAATGGAAAAAAATGATAAATACTTAATTGTATCAATTTTTAATCGAAGGATATTCCGGAAGCTCCTGAACGTCGTATGACCGATACAATAAATGAGCCAATCATGTTGTGTCGTTTCCCAGCCGAAATAAAATCATTTTATATGTCAAAGACCCCGGAAGATCCAACCCTAACCGAATCGGTAGATGTTTTGTTACCCAATGTGGGCGAAATCGTCGGAGGATCGATGAGGATGTACAACAATGAAGAATTACTTGAAGGTCTGTTTTCTTTTTACATTTAACACACAAGTTGTGTTACACAAAACAAAATGAATAATGAATAAATAATGTTGTAGGTTACAAGCGTGAAGGAATTGACAGCGCTCCCTATTATTGGTATACAGACCAGAGAGTGTACGGTGGCCAACCTCATGGCGGTTACGGATTGGGTTTGGAACGTTTCCTATGCTGGCTTTTGAACCGCTATCATATTCGTGAAGTTTGCCTATATCCACGTTTCATCGGCCGTTGCAAACCATAAACTTATCTCATCATTCAAGAAATATATAATTATTCACGTTTATAATCCGATCCGAATTTAAGCTATCTGCTCTTCAATAACAGGGATTGAAAATGTTTAGGTATTTGTCACACAAATCGTTTTTCGAACAACTCCGTCGTTTCATTGTTTTACAAGCAAACCAAAGACCATGACGTTTGTATGACGAATATACACCAATACTATATCATGCGCTTGCGTATGTGGATAGAGATGACTTGATGTTATACATGCCGCATCGTCATACAAACAAAATTGAAATCATTTTGTTTTCGCTTCAATCCCTGTTCAAATATGAAATAAAATAATTTTACGCTAAAACCGCACGTAATTTTTGCAAAAAAAATTTTTTTTCATATTATTTACTTGTTTAGTTTGAAAAAAAATAATAAATAAAGTAAAATGGAAATTTTTTCGTCTGTATCTCTTATCGATAGTAGGTTTCAAAATTACAATTCCGCTTTAGTTAAGAGACTTTAATAAAGAACAACACTCATGACTTACAACACTTTTCAATCACAAATAAATAAAAAATATTTATGATATAGAGAAATGCTGCCAATGAAAATCAAATTGCACAATCAATTAAGAATTTATTGAATGCAATGCTTCAGAAATTATGAATACATGTGTGTTGGAACTGGTTTGTGTAAATTGTAAATTGATTTGCTTGAACATGGGAAGTGGATACACAATTACGGAAAAATACAAATTTATTCTTAAATTGTCGATCCGAAGAATTTCATATGTTCTAGGTCTTTGTCATGTTAATCATTGCTTGCTGCGTTGCAGTACACGTGATAAGTGTCTGTGTTTGATTATTGTAAGTATTGTGCCTTTTATTAACCCCGTTTCGTAAGCAGACAAGCGACTCGTTTTGACAATATGCTTATAAAATGAATGCAATATCAGCTAAACTGGTTTATTTAACGATAGCTTCGAACGCGACAGTATATTAATCGTAAAGTAAGCGTTAGCATTGATGCGATACATTTTGAGACATTGAAAATAGCTTGGCATAGCGTTTGCTATACACATTCAGTGAGTTTAGTCTAGTGGAAATTGTTTAGTGTGACACGTGTGTAAAGAGAACAAACATTTCTTTTCATTCTACAACAGATGACGAACATTTTGGAAAAACTTCTTAAGTTTCGAATGTATTCTTGGCGAAAATCATATCGCTGCTGGATGATCAAATAAACCGATTCATTGAAGCCGAAATCAATCACATCAAAAAAAAGTGAAATATTGTGAAGAAATCATGACATCAAAATCATTTAAATCTGCTTCAATGAAAAATCTAAGCAATCCAGCCGCTTCATTCATTGTTCCATTGGATTTCGAATCGCTTGGTAACGCATGTTCCAAACTTTTCGATGATCCTCATCACAATGAACAAGAAAAGTTAAGAATAGTTCGACAGAGCCTACATCGATACATTTTCATCATATGCCATACAATTCAGCACTTTGGACATCATCTCACAACCAACGAAATTATTTTGGTGGAAAAAGCATGTGAAAAAACGCTGCAATGGATGTGGCATTGTGAGACGAAAACTTTGATTGATTTTCGACAACATATTATACAATTACTGCGCATTTGTACGCCATTAATGAAACGTTTATTCCGTAATGAACAACAAAGCAATATCGAGAGAAATTGCCAATAAGATGTACGCTACAATTGCGATTTGTGTTTTGGAATTTAATAGAATGTATAATTGTACATATTCAATATGCATGTGTATTGGAATGTAGATGAAACGTTTTTAATCGTTTTTAATAAAGCAAAATGCGATGTAAAAGAAACTGGCGTTGTTATTTCACAATCTGTAATTTTCATAAGACTGACGAATGCCTATATTTAACTTTCACTACGAATATTGTCACACTCGCACCTCATACATTATTGGCAAAATGCCAATTGTCAACCAAAGTGTCTTTCTTTTAATCAACATTTATTTCAAGGATGGAACCGATTCGCTGGAAATTATTCTGTTTTTGGTAATAATTGTAAATGTCTCACATTGATTACATCTATAAATTCTAACCATAAGAAAAAAAAAACGAGAAACATTTCCATTGAATTTGGTTTCATTGCCCATACAATGCCATTCACCCGATATTTGTATTGGAATTTTTCAAACATTTCACGTATAGCAGCTTCAAAATACAATTTCGATCGCTCATTCAAGTTGACCTACCTCACAAAAGATGACACTCACATCAAACACAAAGAAAATACAACAAAGTACTAGATTTTTTTTAAAATTAAAATCAAATACTTACCGTTTTATCAAAATTGTTTTTTTTTTCTGTTAGTTTCAAATATAAATGAAAGGAAACACAGAGTTGTTGTTTTTAGACTTACTTTATTATAGAAATACAGATTAATACAGCTCGAAGACGATAAGCTTAAAGGGAGTAAAGTTGATGGTAAGATTAACAACATATATTTGTGAGTTTTTAATATGGAATCTTTTTTCAAATCTTGTCTGATTGTTCACATTTATGTTTAAGTATAGAAAATAGACACAATACATTTAATTGAGCTTCACAAATCCAAAACAATTTTTACTGCAACAATGTGCCTTTTGAGATTGATCGTGAAAAGAACGGCTATGATAGTGAATTAAAACGATATACATTTTAATAATATTTTTTTTTTTTCGTAACAAATATGCTTATCATTTCCAGAATTGGGATTTTAATAATGTTTAATTATATATGAATTATGTCTTGAATCTTATATTTTCTATGGAAAAAGTGTTCGTATCTTATAGCAATATTTGCAATAACTTTTATTTCAAACATTTGGAACATATTCTATTGCTGAAAATTACACTATGCTAGCAATATTTCAAAGTAATTTTCAGGTTACGCAATAAATGAATGAAGTAATTTGAAACTCAATACCAGAAACCGATCAAATGTCTACAAATAGAAAAAAATTCATCATTCCACTGGCAAGAAATCTGAATTTTTGTTTTGAAGCAGCTTTGGTGTTGAGAGTCGTTTTTCTTTTATTTTTAAGTAAGTTGAAATTCCCCTGAAACTTTCTATTTTCTTTTATTTTTCACAAATATTTAGTTCCATGTACGTGAATTTGATAAATGAATAAATACCCACAAGAGTTAATTTTAAGTTTTCTTGAACGTCATTGTTCATCAATGGTGCTTTTCTATTACTTATTAATAAAAATACAACCGTTTTTGTTGACGACAGAAATAGAAGGGATGGGTGTAAGGTATCAATTTTACTCAATTTTAGCTCATATAAAACAAAGACTTTGAAAATATTTTTTAATTTTACAAAGTATTCCGATTCTCGAGTATTATTTGAATTGTTTTTTTTTTTCGTGATTTTCGTGCAATTAATTCGAATTCAATAAAAAGGCTTTGAATTGTCTACTATTCTCGAAATAGTAAAAAATTCAAAACCTTTCTATTGAATTTAGTATTTGAAATTTAATGAATTTAACAACACTATTGTCAAAAGCCTTGCACCTTCGTGATTTAATTCCATGAGATTTTATTTAAAAAAACATCCGTTTAGCGAGTTGTTACATTGATCCGGTAGGTAAAATGAATTTCGATCGAAATTCTTGAAAATCGTTACATTTTGCGCAAACCAATTGCGTTTGGAGAAAAGGTTGAAAATCTTTTTTATAAATTCGGCAGTCAATTCATAAGTTAATGTTTTGTTTTGCTCAATATATTTGAATATGAAAAGTATTCGGTAATAGGCCACGGATCAAACTCGTAAATATTCTGGATGTTTATTGTGGACACAAGTTTTGCAAAATAGGTGCAAAATTCTTTTATCGAATTCGATTGTTGTTAAACTGTTCCAAAAAATTGTTTCATTTTTTTTTTCAATTTTAGTGAGTGTATTTTTTGTTGTCTAACAATATTATCATTTACACTACATGTAGCTATATGCATATGTTAATTATTCATACTCCAATGCTTGGTCTTGCTAATTAGCAATCGTTTCAAAGCTCAAAGAAATATTTATGTTCAAAAACATTTAAGTGTTAAAATGAGGTAGTAAAAAAGCACAATAAAAAACAAATATTATAGATAGATACTTGTGAAACGCAATGGGGAGGGTGAGATAGTGCGAAATTGAAGTATATGAAAATTGGCGCAATATATTCTCAATACTTCGAATAACCACTGCCCCAAATAAATGTTAATGTTCACACATAAATGTTTGTTAACGGCTTAAAAAGGGTCGGAACCCGACTTATTGAGTTGAAAAATCTTGTAAACTATTTGAGGCTTTTTTTAGCAAATTATTATGAATATACAATCAATACACACAATATAAGTGTTCGATTAACATATTATTATTATTATTATTATTATTTTCAGCTTCTTATTGAAAGACAGCTACTAAAAAAAAACAAAAACAAAATTTTAAAAAAGAAAAAAAATAATTGAAAAGTTGATTAAACTGATGTAACACTAAAATTCTCAAAACATGTATGTTATTCAGCTTTCAGTTTTTTTTACCAAGATCATGAGCCAAATACATACTTTGTTATAATGATAATTTAGTTTTGTTTCTTACATCGATCCACTGGAGGAACATGTGTATTTTCAAATCGTATTACTTTTCAAATATCGCAATGCATTGCCGAACAAAAAATCAAATGGAAACAATTTCCCTGAGATTGGTTTAAAATCCAATTTTTTTAAATCAAAAATATTCGAAAATGAAAGATATAAAAAATCAAAAACTAACAATTTTATAAAAAGCAAAGTGCTTGTGTTGGCTCAGAAAATTGATTGACGCTTTGGGATATACGTTATGAGCGGGTATTTTTTGCCAAAAGGATGTAGCGACCATCAATCAATCTTACATTTCTGTTACTACTTTCCTTGGGCTCAGAGAAGTTTCTTAAATCTGAGTAAACTGAAAACTGGACATGTAAATAATAAAAATGCAAAAAATCAAAGTGTAATTAAAACATTAAAAAAAGTTAAATGAAAACACAAACATGATTAACGTTATTTATTACGTAATTATTAGTCACACTAAAATCATCGAACATTGGTGTTTCGACGTATTGAAATTGCTTTTTCATAGTGCGCGTTGTTGCTTTTACTGTATTTAGACCCAGTTAGTAAATATCCTTCGAAACGTATTATCTTTTAAACCTTAGCATTAATCGTTATAAGTGTAATTTTTTTTTCGACCTTTTTAATATTTTTAATTTTTTTTACTGTGTTTTTTTGTTTTTAATATATTTTTTTTTTGTATTTTGTGAGGATTTTTAACTTTTTTTGTGATTTTTTCAAACAGAATTTTATGCTTTTTTTGTTGTTTTTTTTTTAAAGCGAACTCTATGAAAATGTGATATATTTGGTACCTTTACAACTAATGATTTGATTATGGTTTCAAATAGCGCTTTGAATTAGCTTACATACTGATAGACCACACAAGTGAATATGCATTTGATAAACACTCTTATCCTTTAATGCCGATGTTGACTATATAAGACTGACAGACAATTAGATGCTGATTTGCTTACGATAAAATAATTCTTATTTTAACATTAAAATGTTATGTCCATTAGTTGAAACTCTTAATCATTTCATAAAGAGACGTTGGTTGAAAAGAAAAGAACAAGAAAACACAGTTAATAGGGTTCCAAGGTTTATTTTGATGCGTTAGCGCATCTCGTCGATGTGTTTTAAACCTTCAATCAAAAATGGTAATCAATGATGATTTTGAATCTGAGTGAATAAATGAAAGACGATTTTTTTTCACATCAAATCTTTCTTCTTTTTCGACAATCGATTTTTTTTGAAGTAGATTATTTCATTTTTTTGTCCACAATGACGTGATAAAATGTTATCGATCTGAATATTCCGTTGTTTAATATTTTCTTTGTGATTCGTAATTATTTTCAGAAATATTCCCAACCCACCCACCGTATTTGAAAATAATTACTTTAAATAATCTGCGTCATTTGGAATGAAGAAGCCTCTAAAACTATATGAAAGTGCGTATAAATGACGAGATCTACTTATTCAGAAGCAATTCTTCTGGCACGTCTTTTGAAGAAAATCATCAAAAATGTTGTTTTAGAATTCACAATTTTACTTTCAAATTTCCCAGACTTGAATTTTTTAAACTTCAAATTTATTCAGTATATTAGGTTTCAAAGTAAAATTTTACACTTATTAAATGTCCAAATAATTTGTACTTGAATCGGATAATATTTTATACTGATGGCTCTGGGATTTTTCAAACAGAATATCAAAAATTCTCTTCAATAGATTTCAATAAGCGGTTTTATTTTGAGCCAATTTTCAAGGTTCCATGTGAGTATTGGCCTGACTCGGTGAAAATTTGGATTTAATTCGAAATGTAATATATTGTAATCGCTATTGTGCAAACAACAAATTACTGATCAGGATCAGTAAACTGCTGTTACAATCAATGTAGGTACTGTCAATATTGAAAGAATTTACATTTTTTCGAATTAAAAATTTTGAAATTGAAAAAGATTGAATTGACTTTTTATATGATTTGCAAATGATTGATGACCGAAAAATATAAAAAAAATGACTTAGAGTAAAAAAAAAAGGATTTCTTTTCTTTTTTTGATTCAATCAAAAATGGATGATTGAATCAAAAAAAGAAAAGAAACTGTGTGAGGTAAATCAAGTATAAGTCCGTCGATTTGAAAAGAGGATTAGTTTCAATTGAATTTAAAATTCAGTTCTTATAAGCTTAAAATTAGGAAAATTCAAAGAAAATAAGAAACGTGACAAAGAGTACAAGTGCTTGATCAGTGAGAGGAAAAAATAAAATTCCCAATATGCTACGGAGGAAAAACTTATCAAATAAGTCCCGGAAATTGTTTGATGAATTCACGTTCTCTATCCAGTGTTGTTAATCAATTATGTGAAATTAGAAATTGTGAGTTAACTAAATCTAAAAAGCTGTTTAACTATGTATTTTATGTGGTATTTTGTACGTATTGCAGAAAAAATTTAAAATTAAGAAATGGTTTATTTTATCAAAATTTACAAACTTGATTTTTGTAATAAATGTTTAAGGGATATTCGGAATACTTGTAAAATTATAATTTTGTGGTTGAATTATTCGTCTTCTTCTTCCAATTACGAAATTACTGCTGAATTGAATAAAAATGATTTTTGATTCACACTACATGAACTATTTTCGACTTAAAAGTCAATTATGAATATATTTGTTTCGTTTTTGTACTTTTTTTTGAATTTATTTTATTTATTATATTATACTTATCAAAAATGTTGCTCCCAAATTTACTTATCTGTTGATGGACTGCGAATTGATATTGATAACTTTGCTCTTCCTGTCAAAATGCTGAAGATGAAATTGTGTTGCTTCCAATTGGTATTTTGTTTCCCTCGCTCGTTGATATTACCAATAAAATCAGTTGAAACTTTCTTCCTTTTCGTTATTCAACAACTTACTTGCATTTATGTTCTCATTTCTCTTTTGGAAATTGAATAATTGGTTGTTACATAACATTTATTCGATTTTTTGTCTGAATTCGTATGAGTTTACGTGATGTGTTGTTGAGTGCGAGTCTACGTGACTCAGAGCTCGTTTAAATCGATGGATATGAATGGAAGTTGCACGTAGTACATTTAAAACATACGCGAGCCAAACTTATATTTCAAATGCAAGAAAAAAAATATATTCAAGAATGGGATTGCTTCTTACGGTTTTCGGCTTTAACTGCCGTTGATTCTTTCTGTTGTCCAGATCTGGATTGTTGTCGTTTTCCTCCTTGTATCTCGGTGAGTGCTGACAATTGTTTTTTGCTGCTGGCTCTCGACTTTCGTTACATCTTTGCGAAATTCAATTACGTGTCGTGGCCGCTTTACCTTCTGCCGCTTTTTTGTTCAATTTAAAAACATGCAAATTTCAAACACTTTTCAGGGTGCTGGTTCGGTATCTTCACTGTCGGCATCAATGCCTGCCATTTCACATTGGCCGCCTAACAAATGAATGTTCAATTCAATTTCAACGAACGTGGTTCAATCATATGATGAAGAAACCACAACGTTTTAAGTCACATTATTTCGAATTGAATTTGTTTCGTTGAATCTTTTTCTTTCTTAATTTTGAAATTATTTTAAGTTCTTTGATTTAATAACATTTAGAATTTGTCTTACAACGAATTCTTATGTGAAATTTCTTTTAAAAATTCACTAAGTCTTTTTAACTGAATTTCGCTTCTCTTTTTAAAGTCTTTTTTCTCAAAAGCAGCAATCTCGTTCAACGTTCAGCATTCGACTGATTAACAAGCCTGTGTCGATCCTCTATTTATACAAGTGCTCTACGTGACGACGCGCACCCAATAAATTGCGTTCTAATTTTTGGAAGCTTCTATATACATCTCGAAATTTCGATGGAGTGTGAGTAAAACGAACCGCTCTTATAAACCATTTCCATCTTTACAAACATTCGAGAACATAAACACGGTGCGTGTGTATCTGTATATATACATTCAATCCGACAAAAGAAAAAAACAAGTCAAGCTGAACCAAAAAATAAATACCGGCATGAATGAGTAGCAGCTAGTAAGGTATATATATGGTTTTATCTGTTCATATAGATATATACGAAATGAAAACAATTCTTTTGATTCATCGTCTAAATTTTTCCATTGCAAATAAATACGGTTCCTTCTATTTAAATTTTATCCCCCAAAATGCGTGTTATATACAACTATATATAACAAAAAAAATTCATTGTCAAGGTCAAGTTAAAACCGTTATTTACATCACGGGCCTTATATCGTATAATACTAATGCTTGTATTTATATAAACACAACCAAATTTTGTTGATTTCCTACATGACGATATCAATTAACCGATCACCGAAATAAAAACCAATCCAAGATAATACAATAAATATAATGCAATTACGCTACGCGATTATTCATAAAGAAAAAAAAAAACAAAGTATTTAAAAAAATCAAACGCCAAAATAATGCGTACAAATGTACCGAGATAATGAGCCATTACTGTTGCCATATATTTTATAACCATGCCCAAAATAAAACTTATAGACTATGCATTTGCTCTTGGACGCCCTTCAAATTTGTTGGTAAATAATGGTGTTCCATAATACGGATTGAAAACAGACGCCGCGTTTTAAGAGAGTGAAGAGGGACATAATCAACTTCCTAACAAATTCGTATGCGGTGCCTCTTTTCTCTTTCCTTATTACGTTTTTTCTTCTTTTGTGTCTTTCATATGTCCAAAAGGCATGAAATAAATAACATTTGTGAACGAATTTGGAATTTTCCATCGTGTATCTTGTGATAGAGCCACCAGATTGAGGAGTGTAAATATATCTAAAGGTGAATTGTATATGTCGTTCTTACAGAACGAATAGCCAAGACGCAGAAGAATCAATGTATTAACACTTAGAAAGCAGAAGAATGAAATGGAAGATGGAAGGCATGTGGTGTATAAAAACACACTCCATTTGTTCAATGTCACCTTGATTGAAGAAGAGAAATGCAAAAAAAAGAGAATAACATTCAACCGCTTTACATCGAGATACTCTTTGAATTTGTGCGTAATTTCTTTAGTTTGACGAAGAAAAAAGCACGAAACAAAAAAATACCGGCCGGTTTTTGCATGCTGAACGTTTATTTTTACGTCGCAATTATTAAAACGTATTGAATTGAGATTTGTTTGCTAAATATAGTTTGTTTTGTGAATTTAAGATGAATTGGAAGAGGAAAATTCTTAAATAAGATCAATCGATCGCAAAAATGTACAAGTTGCAATTGAAATCACAGCCTTGAATTTAACAAGATTATTTAATTTTATTTTTCCATTCAATTATTACTCTTATCGAAATTGTATTTTCAAAACTGTAGCATTCGTTGTCATAATAACCACTCACAAAATTATTGCGTATCAAAAATGAACACTTGCCCGTCCTACAATATATTTGGTATAAAATGTGTAGATAAAACACGAGCCAAAGATATATATGTGTACGGAGACAGATGTGTACATGTATATTTATTCATCTATTTATATGCATATATATGCATTCTCTTATGTAAGAGATATAATAAAAACACCGAATACGCAATATTTGGGAGAATATAAATGTACAAAAAAAAATCACCGAAACTCGTTTCTATATACAGAAGAGAATGGAGTGAAAGAGGCACGTCTATAATAGTCGTTTGTTTTGGTCTTTGGTGCGCTTATTATGTATATATTCGTTTGTTTGTATACAACTCTCATATGTTTATAAGTGAAATAGGGAGCAAAATCAACGCGGAATGAGGAAGAAATTTCGAGAAAACCCATGAACATCATGTTATTTTCTCGAAAAAACCCATCAAATCCACTTTTATGTTGAAATAAATGAATTGAAAGGTTTTGTTGTAGCGTTTGGTCAATGCATTGGTTGCTATGTAACAATTATACATTCATATTTGTCACAACAACAATTCCTTCAATTGGATTTCAGAATTTAATTTTAGCTTGTCAAATTTGGTTTTAACTCCTCAAAAACATTCGTTTAAAAATGTTTGCTTTCAAAGAACCACTACAGAATCGTCCCAATAACTACAGACTGAGTGAAATCGCATTAAAATCGGGCTTTAAATTTCGAAACATTGAAAATCGTAAATTGGATTGGAAGGCTTTGGGTTGTGTTGATGTGAACAAAGTTATTGAAAATCAGGATTATGAATTTCTCGAGAAAATCACCCCCAAAATAATTGAGGCCCCAATGCAATCAATTTTGGGAACATCTGCAATAGATCCAGCCATATGCTCATTGTTTCGCTTGGCACAAATGAGCTTACAGTATATGAGTTTTTGTCAACAGTTTATGTCCCATACATTATATGATCTGAGAACGGCCTTTAATCAAATACAAAGAGTAAATTTAATTAATTATAAATAATGTATTTTGATTTTTTTCAAAAAGCGTTTACTATTTTACAGAAATATTCAAATTTGAAACAAAATTACAAGTGCCTTGAAGAACAACATTATAAAGCCCAAGAACGTATTCAGTCATTGCTCAGAGAAATTAAATGCCAAAAAACGGGTCCGTCATCATTGTATCCATGCGATGAATGCACAAAGAACTTCCTCACGGTCGACTCATTAAAATCACATCAACAACGCAAACACAGTGTCATTGCAGAGAAGCACGAATTAAGTGATGATAATGAAAAAGAGAATTACCTTACGGATAATGAAGAATTGGCGGAGGATACAAAGCCAACAAATGCACATCAAACGATACAAGACGATGTGATTAGTGCTGAAAAGGAAGTTTCTCAATTGAAAAATAGCAACAATAACAACAATAGCGATGGTAACGAGCTGAATGTGAATTGCACGGAATGCTCTCAAAAAATGAAAGTCAACTCATCAACCAAAGCAGTACAGTGCGAGGAGAGTATATTTTTAAATGAAAATAATGAAGCACCTTTTCATAGCACTCACGATGAGCCAAAAGAGAAAATCGATCAAATTCAAGGTGATGGAGACACAACTGGTAAAAAATTGGAAAATGAATTGATTCAAAGTGCATATGAAACGATTAGTGAATTGAAGAGGGAAATTGTCGATTTAAAAAATTCTCTCGGAACCAAACCGTGTACAGATCAAGCAGCTCAACAAACGACATCGGAAAATTTAACATCCGCTAAATTGGCAGCACTTACAGAAACCAATGACAAAATCGATGTAATTGAACAGAAATTTAATGCGTTTGAAGTTATGTACACGGAGAGTCAACATCAATTCATTGAATCGTTCCGAAATTTGGATGAACGACAGAAAGTCTATATGGACAACATACAAGAAACGATTAAAGATATAGTTGAAAAATCACTGGGAAAACACGATTCTACTTTAATAAATGACGAAAAAATTAATGTTGATAACGAAACCAACAGTCAAAGTAAAATCGATGCTGAAATAGAAGAAACAGACTTAAACAGTGCCATACCTGAGTCCAACGATGCAAATTCGCCAGTACCTTCACCAAAGCCATCAAATATAATTCAGAAAGCGACAAACAAAGAGTCTCCCCGCAAATTTCAACAGAGTACGATTGATGACTCGGCTAGTTACAGCGAAGAAGAAACAACTCAATTCATTTGTCAAGCGGAAATTCATGCACCATCGCAAAATGAATCAAATCTAACCGATAACGAAGAAGTTTTGAAAAGTGTCAAGAAAAAGAATAAAACGGCAAAAAAACGAGCTACCAAAGACGTGGCCATAAATGAGTTTCAGCAGCGATTACGTCAGATTGGTGTGGAAATTTCCGAAACTGGTCTGGCAACCCCCCGAACTAGTGAAATCAATCAAGATTTGGCTGAAGAAAGAGAAGAAATAAAAAAGGCAATTAATTAAACTAAATTCACTGAGGTAACAAAAAATAACCCGTTTTGTTTTTTTGCAGGCACACAAATCCTTTGAATCGACTCGGAAAAAGCTAAGAAGTGATATTGAAAAAATTGCCAAAGTAAGACTTGCATCAGCTAGCAGCTTGACGAGCTTATCTTCTTATCGATCTGATGATGAACATAATTTTAATGAAAGCGACGAAACAAAAGCTCAAATGCGGAAAACCAGACCCAAATCAGCGAGTGTACAACAAACGCGTAAACGAAATGCCAAAAAATTAATGAATAAATTTGTGGAAAATGATATCGATGAAAATGATATAATTGATAAGATGCAAATGGCTCAAAAGGCTATCAATTCACATCGCGAATGCATACAACAACTTCTTCAGACAACCGCCCATTCACCAAATTCCCTTACAAAACTGAAATATGTATCATCGACTGCGCCAAAAAATGACGGAAAACATGAAAAGGTCGGGGAAAATAATGAATCGGCCATTAATCAATACAATCAAATGCCAAATGTAACAACGAGACGAGTCGTTTTTGTTAATCTAGATGAAGACAGTTAATTTTAAGGGAAATAAAATTATAATTGTGTGTGTGTAAAGGTGTGCATGTGTTTGAAGGAAAATTAAATAAATGATTCATTCCGAATTCAAATAACAAAAATAAAACATGTCAACGTACGAATTCATTTTGTTGCCATATCGAGCGCCATCTGTGCATTTCTGTCCGATTCGTTGGAACTGAACACAAAAACAAAGTGTCACGTAGGCATACACGAACGATTAACAGACATCATACATATATTTTGCCACCAAAACAAATGAGAATTTTGACATTCGGAGTAAAATAAAACAAAATAAAATACATGTAAAGCAAAAACCATTATTCACACATACCAGTTATTTTTGCGTAGTTTATTAGTGAACAATACACCCACTGCCTGTGCAAATAAAATTACTTTTGCTTGTTGTTTTTGTGTTTCTTTTGCTTGGAATTCGATTTAGAGCAATGGCAAAAGTTGACATGTCTCGAATCAGTACTGGTTCGAACCAAACAATGCAAAATGGAAACAATCCAAATTTACCTGAAGAATTTTACCCAGCTTGCTGGCAAGATGACGACCGAATGGATAATTTATTTGCGCCATTCCGTGATAGAGCGGTGAATCCCGTTAACTTCGAGACAAAAATGAAATTTTGGAAGAATTTGATTCAAGAATATTGTACAACCAAAGGCAGTCCCAACATATCGCTGGCAGAGCTTCGAATGGCATTTGAACGAAAAGGAAAGAGGCCTCATTGTTTAAATACTGTTTTGGATGAGCTATTAAGTGAATGTTTGGCCAAATCAAAAACACAGTTTATGGAAACCCCGTTAACATGGACAGGATGGGCCGTTCAAAAATTGGTTAAAGGTAAAAATTTAGAATTTTTTTGCGATAAGAAAAATATATGTATTTTTGTAATTTATTTTAGCACCACTTCGCTGGGGATTTGATAAAGTCAAAGAAAGAGTTATTTCGAATGCGAACAACGGCAATTGTGATGAAAGCTATGAATTTGTCATAATCGAAGTAGCAAAGGTCTTTTTTATACCGATAATTATGCATTTTTAACATCGAATAATATGTTGTAATTTGCTTTTAGGTCATTTCTGAGAAATTGTTGTTAGCCTTCAACACAGCGAATGAATGTCACACAATTATTTCACAAGATGATTTAATTAAAGAACTTACAGCCGATAATGCATTCAAATTGGATGGCATTGAAACGGCACTCCACTATTTACACTGTCACCAAAAATTGTCGATGCAAAAAACTCAAATTGATCAACAAGAAGTGACACTCTATAAATTCGCTGTTACATGGAAGTGCAACGTAGAGCCAATAACACCGTTAGACACGTCAATTTACACATTGAACAAAATGGAAAACTCACTAACAAAATCGGTCGAAGCCATAGAAGTGGATATATCAAGTACAGATGCATTAGTTAGACAATATATCCGTGACAAGAAAAAACAGTTGGCAAAAAGTTTTCTTCGTAAAAAGCATGTGCTCGAAAAGAATCTAGGTAATACATATATCCATAGTGGAAACTAATGTAAACAAATATAATATAATCTACCGTAAATTTCAGTGAAAACGTCAAACGCACTAACAACAATTCAGACACTGCTACTGCAAATTGATGAAACAAAGCAAAACGCAAAGATTGTCGAGGCATTCAAAATGGGAACAACCACATTGAAAAATGCGCTTAGCGATAAAAATATCACCGTGGATAATGTTGAAGATGCACTTGCCGATGTTAAAGAAATACTCGAAACAAATGCTGATATTCAGTTTGCACTGAGCGGAGCACAATTTAATGATATTATAAACGATGGAACTTCGGATGAAATGCTCGAAGCAGAACTTATGGATTTGCTTGAAGATGACGAACACCTCGATGCCAATGCAGAACCACAATCGAAGCAACCCAAACAAAATATTAACGAACACAGACGCAATCCATCGAATGGACTTTCCAAACCAAATTCACCAACAACAATAACCAATGTTATCGATGAATTATTGGAAGAACGACTCAATAAATTAAAATTGGATTCATTCAAGTTTGATTCGAATGATAATCCAAATATAAAAGTGTACAACATTTCCACACCACAAAATATTGGATTGTAGACGATTTCTATGCGATTGTGTGTTGAGCAAATTTTATACTAAATTTCCGAAACGCCAATCAATGTGTATGTGTGTGTTTTTTTAAATTTGAAAAAATGAAATAAAATAAAACCAATTGTGTTTTCTGATTATTTGGGCCAATAGTAAATCATTTATTAATTATTAAAAAAAAAAAAAAATGAAATAAAATCTAAATTCTCTAGATTTATGCCATTTAAAATTTAACATACAAAATACATTCATTCGTTCCATACGTTTTTGTTTTGTGCACACACACATGCACACTTTGTGTCACGGTGCGCAATCTAAACCAGTTTGACACAAATGCTGTCGTTCATTCCTTTTGTTTATCATTTTCAACGCATACACAGACATACACGACTAAGTATAATGAAACACATGCGCAAGCATAAAGATGGCTGAATAAAAGACGTACAATATATAGGTGGCTTTAAGTTAAAAAATAAAAAAACAAACGAAATTTTTGTGCAATTAAATGAAAAACTAATTAAATGATCAGATAAAACGTTTTGAAACTTGTCGATGATTATTCACTTTACCATCATTGGTGAATTTGTAGCATCATTTAAAAATATCAAACGTAAAAGTGAGTAACTATTCAAATTTTATGAGTGATGGTACATTCATTGGTTGATTTTTATTAAATATTTAAAATTTATAGCAACGAAAGAAACGCAAATTTATTGATAAAATGACAGAATCTATGCGTGGAAGAGCGGATGCCCATTTAGAGGATCAAAGCAATGAAATAAATGATAAAAATACAGTTGAAATGGATGATGGTGTTGAGAACTCGGATTCAGAAGATATATACCTGAAAAGTGACTCATCTTCGTCTGGATCTTGGTCCATAGATGATAGCATAGAATTCTTACAACCTGCACATAAACCACTGTTCGATGAGTTGCCAACATTTTCAATCAGATCTACATCGCCGAGTGGACATTTGACGTCCATTGTCAATGAGCCAATATCATTATTCAATCTCAGCATTTCACCGATCTCATCCATGGAAGACTTATCGCGTGTCAACGATCAGATTGATGATCGTACGACGAATGAAAAGAATACCAAAGATTTAACACAAAAAAGTGATTCGCTTGGCGTTGGTTATGACGATGATGATCGCATTTCGCTAGAGGATTTAACAGCTCAAATAAATACACCGCCATCGATGTTGTCGAGATCAAATAAAAGACTGAATTTAGAGACGATTTTCGAAGATGTATTCCTTGAAACGCCGAAAAAACGTAAATTAAAAAAATTCAATTCCTGGCGAATCGAAACATTTCAAGAAATCACCAACGATGAACGCATCAACTCATATGTAATTGAGCAGCAGCAGCAAAATCGACACGAACAAGATAATACATGCAATGATACATTTTGCAATGCATTCGACGATAAAATTAAGATAAATAACACAATTTCGGATGACTGAAATGTTTATATTTTATAGATTCACAGATCAATATTTGTAGAAATTAGGTAAACAGTTTTGAATGCATTCCATTCATCGACATCATCATCATCATCATCATAAATAATACTTGAAATGTTTAATATACTAGAAAATGTGCCGAATACATAAAAATATGAATGTAACATTTGTCTGTGTTTATTTTTATAGAAATCGTCGTCTTTCTCAGATGAAAGCAAAATAGTTATTTTTCAGATGCATATTGGGGAGAAGAAAGATTAAATTTCGCATATTGTAAATATTTTCGGTAAAATTTGTTATTATACGTTCAATCGAATTCAAACAAAATTTGAACATTTAAACGGTATGAAAAGTGACGTTTCTTTGAACGCACTCCCTTTTTTTCCATTTGTTCCGAATGTACAACAGCCGTAATGTACCACACATATGATTTGACGTCTTTATTTTAATGATACAGAAAGAAAAACAATTACGAATAGCAAGTCATACAATAAATGCACAAACAAAGAACAGTAATAATATTTTTGCAACAAGTTTGAACATCCGACACTTTTTTAATTTACAAAACTTTGAAAGATCTCAATAATGGAAAACGCACCATTGAATAAAGTAAGTATTTTGCAGTTAAGAAAAAAATATTTTTATACAAAACATGATTCCATTTAACACTATCAATATCATGGCGCCAAAAGTAATTTTACGGTTAATTCACTGTTGTTTTTCAGGCTCATTATCATGGCCGTCAGGCAGACAGCCATTTGCGGCATTTACGTTTCGATGAAGCCATTGAGAGCCATCAAAAAGCCATCATTGCATTGGAAGACACTCTGAAAGTCGCATCAAATCAAAAAGTTGTAGAATCACTCATAAAGCAACGCGATCAGCAGCAAAAAGGTATTGACTTGGTGATTTTAAAAAAATCACAGTTCGAAAAATATAAGGAAGCAGTAAGAGAGGAGCGAATGAAAAATCGTCCAGTCTCTTTGGAACAAAAAGTCGATGCAATACGGTTCGAAAGCATTTGTGATACACAAATGTCTATTTTTAAGACTTTGAAGGAACAAGATTCATTGCTTGAATTATTGAATATCAAATGCAATAGTTCATCGAATGATGAGGGTGAAGTAGCATTGGAGAGACCAAAATTGTCAACCGAAAATGCAAAAGAGACAAAGCCACAAAATCCAATTATTGGAGACATAATAAGCACTAACCACCAGTTGCATATTCTCGTATTCAATCTCGTGTCACAAGTTGATGAATCGTCTAATGAATTAGAAAACTTACGTAAGCGTGTCAAGAAATTGGAACAAGAAGGAAAAACATCACAAGGAAGTAACAAATCATCATCTGATTCGAAAAGCAAATCTGACGAATCGCCAACTTCATCCGTCAAGGAGAACCGACGAGATTTCACCATCGATGAAGAAAGGGATAATGATCTGCCTGAATCAAGTGAACTACCACCATTGGATCTTCCTGTATTTGATTATAACTTCTTGAACAACACATAAATACAATACGAGAAATTATAATTATTAGAATCTTCTGAAAATTGGATCTTATTATAAATGATGTGATTTTTTTTACATCTGAAAAAAGGCCAAAGTTAAGCCACTTTTTCATTTCAATCGAATTAAATCTCTAGAATAAACACAAGCAAACAAAACAAAATTATCTTTATATAAAAACAACCGAATAAATATTTTTCATTATATTAATTTTTATTGAAAAAGTTTCTCGTGTTTTTCTACTCCTTATCGAAATCTCGTTTTTTACGATAGTTTAAATTGGTCACAGTTAATGGAGCAACACTTGGCTGACTATTAAATTCAAATGGCGGATTATTTATGAAATTGACATTGCCACGAAAACCATTACGCAGCTCTGGTGATGAATTTAGCGGACCAACAGAAAGATGTGGCGGCAAAAGATTTTCGTTAATTGATAAACTATTTGGCAATCGTGGTTGATTGAAATATGGCTTCGGAGTGATTAAAATTTCATTGCCTTGATTGGGTGCAATGCTATTGAATGGTCTTGGAGTCGATGATACAATTGGTATTGGTGGAATATACTTTTTAAATTGAACGGGTTCGTCATCTGTGACGTAGGCACTGGTTGATGAAGGAATCGAGTTGAAATGATTAATTCTCGAATTGATGTTGGACTGCGCAGTGACATATGAAAATCTATTTATTGGTGGCTGCGTTGAAGGTGAATAAAATGGAGCCGGTGTTTGTTGGGATACAACGGAATAAGGTGTATTTATTCTGGGATTGTTATAGGCATAGCCTTGAAATGGTGGCGTTGGTTGTACATAAATTGGAAAATGTGGACGTCGCGACAAAGGTGCTACCGAAGACGCAACCGGTGCTAATGTCGATGAGGACACAATTGGAGATGCAGTGGTAGGATTGTATTCCCCATTGAATGGATATGGTTCTCGATACGGTGTTGACGATGGCACGTTGTAGGGTGATGGTGATGCAAAAGGTGTCGGTGACACAAACGGTCCCGGTGTACTCGATACAAACGGTCCCGGCGTACTCGATATAAACGGAGCTGGCGTACTTGATACAAATGGTGCAGGACCAGATGCACTGGGATTGAATGGCAATGGTTGCACAGTGTCTTGAGGTGGCAAATGAGATCCGCTGGCTCTATAACCGTTTTGATCCGCCCGATAGTTGGTAGTATAAATTTTTCCATCTGGCCCAATATAAGAATAATAGCCAACAACAACGCGATCATTTCCAACCATGTAGCTTGTTTGGCGAACCTTTATACCATTTGTGGTTTCATACCTATTAACACAAATAACAAAAAGGTAAAAAATGGATAATTTAATAACATCATGACCACAATTTAATAAGATTAAATATTTGCATATAAATTATTTGCGCCCGATGTATAGCTCATCGCATGTAAAGCTCATTGTATGAATTTGAATTAAAAATGCGGTTAACAAAAACCAATAATTATTCATAATTAATCAACATTTTGATTGAAAATATGAAATGTGCATTTGTTTAAATATGATCGAAAATACCTTTTTTAGACCATAGTGAAATAGTATTTAATTTAAAAAAATATCTAGAATGACACAAAAGAATCATGATACAGAAATGTATATAACTCAGATACATTAAGTCAATATTGACAATGCGAGCGCGGCGTTTTAATTCATTTCAAAACCACTACTGTTCACACGTCTAATTACAATCCATACATCAATTCGATTACGATTCAATTTAAAGCTCCGTATTTTATCGACCTATTATTTAATGGCTTATAGCCAAATGCTTTGTGAGAGCAGTGCATGTACTTCTCATTCTTTTATTCATTGCATATACCTTCTGAGGTTGACAAGGCAAAGGAGGAGGGCCAGTAAATTTAAAAACCAGATACACATTTTTGAGAAGGGGAGTGTTTGAGAAAAACGAAAAATCATTTATTCTGTGTGCAAATGGCAAAAATATGGCCTCCCCAAAGTCGTGCTTGACCAATATGAAAACGGGGAGGTTTTAATTTTGTAATCTTCTCTCCAGAGAGATCGAATCCTCCTTGAAATCCTTGGAATGTTTATGTATGCGTTCCTCTTTGTAGACAAATAATTAGCCTATTTAATTAAATCATTAGGTGATGGAAATAAATTTTCATTTGTTCGTGTATGCTATTGGCATGACTAATTGAACTTTGAACCGAAAAATGTTGCAATTGTTGCTTTCACTGTGATTGTATTTCGTTCTATCCTAAATAAAAGCCCAATAAATAAATCGACATTTCATATCAGCATGGTTCCCTTTATATGGAAAATCTCACTCCATTGTGAATTGTTTACTTGGTCTTTGTTTTGATTATTTGTTCACCAGTCAGTAAATACATTGTTTCCGCTTCTTCCTATTCGAATCGAAAATTTTGTAGGTCGCGCGGGAAAATGTTTTGAATTGAACGCTTATGCGTTGAATAGAGTTATCTTCGCATTGAAAATAATTGTATCATTTGCATCAGTAAAATAAACCACAAATGGTGGAAACACACATTACATAATAAACAGTCTCAATTTGCATAATTTCGAAAACTGAACCTATAGGTCAATAGATGTATGTACGTACGCATAGTTGTAGTCGCCATTCAAGTCTTTTTGATCAACTTGATTTATAGTTTGTGCATATGAGTCTGGATTCCGACGGGCCACATCGAGTGCAGCATCTCCAACATAGGGTGAATAGTTTGGTGGTCGACCGAATGAAAACTGACGTTTTACTTTTGCAGATGATGCTCGATCTGATAATTTGGTTGTGATAGACGATTGTGTAGTTGATTCCGGTACTGCCAAAACCACACTTGAGCATAGCGTTGCAAAAATTAGTATGCAAAACTGTAAAATATTGAGCAAACAAAAATATGTATATAAATTTAATGCGGTTTATATAAAGCAAAAACGTCATTTGGGTGGGTGATGCAAATTATTCTAAATGCTTCGTAGCGCGTTATAAATAAAAAGATCTGATGACGAACAACACGTAGCCATAATTTTTCATCAAAATAATAGCAATAATAATAAGTCCTTTGTGCACACATCCGACAATTGCTATTATTACTACTTGAAAAAAAAAGATGAGCGTCAGCGACGATTTGTCATAATAACTTACACATGAAATAGCAATCTTTACCTGCGCGTGCTTCTTGGTCGGAGTTAAGTCATTGCTATGACAGATTTTTTAATTATTACATTTAGTCATAAAATACATTTGGTATGTAGCACGTTGAGTGCTTCACTCTAACAAACTGGTGCAATTAAATGAAATCATGTAGAATAACCTCCATTTCATTTACATACAATTATGCCATTTTCTTAAAATCAATTTAATGATTCATCACAGAAGAATAGTTTTTGCTTAAATCATTTTTATATATAAATCAAATCGTTATTGTTCATTCTTTCAAAACTCTAAACGGATAAATTGCATTTTGTGCTAGTATGGCTATATTTCAACTGTTTCATTATTATTTCGTATTGGATAATCTTTCGCAAAACAAATTATACTTGCATCCATTAAGCAAAATATTATTATGAACCATAAGAAAGATAACTAAGTACTTAATGGTTCCAAATGAATTCATTTACACTTTCTCATAATTGAATAATCATTTCTATTGAAAATATCGAGAGGAGAGTATGTTTTTATTCAGACATTACTCAGCCATAAGCGCTGAATAACATACTCTCTTCTCGATATATTCAATAGATTTGTAAATCAAAAAATCTGTCCATTTTATTTTTTTATTTTTCAAAAATTATGTGTTGATTATGGTAGAGATGAAATTAACTATGGAAACCGAAAAATACATAAAATGTACAGGAAGCAATTAGCATTACCAAAATGGAAATGATTACAATTAAGAAAAAAAATCCTCATTATAAATAAGAAAAAACTGCAGCATGAACCAATTTAATTATGAGCCAGAATTAAAAGCCTTTTAAAAAAGACAATACGATGAAATTTTAAATAAAAGAGCAATATTGTAAATTTTCACAAATTTTTTCATAATTCACTCTTATTTTCTGTCACTTGTAACGGTTTGTAGATGATATTGTCAGTGGGCTCTTTCAGACTAATTTCAGTTCATGATACATTTTTTTCTCTTAAACAGCTTGACTGAATTTTCATGTTCACACTGACCGAATTTTAATTTTTATCACGATTATTTCAAAAACAACTATCACTAATAACAACCTACGATATATCTATTAAATTCAATTTGTTATAAATTATTGTCAAAACAAAGCGGTTAATTGAAAATGTTACTATTGAATTTATATTGAAAATTATTGATTTTGATTAGCACACTGTAATTCATTTTCAATGGATTGAAACAAAACTCACCGAGTTCATCGTAATTGAATTTAAATTCCAGAGCACTTTTTTTAATTAATTTTACATCAGTGACAAGTTGATTTGTGTGTTTTATTCGAAATGAATGTGCAGTCCATTCACATGAACAGCAAAATTCGCACTAAGTCCACGAAAACCGTTCCGCTTTGTTTATATACTATTTGAGCCAAGTCTTGGCCAATATTCTCATCTCGGGCGAACGTTTTGGTCAATTAGTTGAGTTCACTCTAGCAGAAGTGACGGCATTATTAATAACATTAATAACAATTCAACGGTAGCAATGTTTTTGCTATTCTGCTTATATGTTTCTGTATTTTAGAGCTTTTCTGTGTAAAGTGGCTTGCCCACTATTGATAGGCGAAGAGGAGTGGAGATGGGAAGAGTGGAAGAGGTAAGAATTTGTGACGTTGTATTGTGTTTTTCTTTGTTTTGTTTTTCACTTTTGCTGATAGCACGTCTTCAGACGTTTGTTTTATCCAAAAGTTTCCAGCGCTATTTTCATCTGGCCATCAAAAACGTAAACAGCAATTGTTTCAATTTCTCAGGTCTCAAACACCTGAATATCTATTGAATGCGCACAATACACAAAGCCCTCATAAGACAATTATTGGTCCGGTGGAAACTGTATTATTGTACATATAATAGCAGTTCCAGCAATCCAACCTCCCACCATTTATGATATCGCACTGTATTTTGTGTGTGTGTAGCAAAGTATTAACAACGCAAATATTACGTAGATTCAATTTGTGAGACAAATACAGCATATATGCATCAAGAGATCACATTCAACGAACGAAACAATTAAAATGTAATGTGTGAATTTAACTGAAGACAGAAGACACCAAAAGAATAATAGGGTTTTGTGTGTGTGTTGACAATTGGTTAAATTCACCACAAATGGATTAGATCATTTGTATTTGAGTGATGTCATATACATATTGGTATAAATCCAATGTATCCATTTAATTGTAATATGCCACGAGGTACGGTACCTCAGGTACCACTTAATTATGGCTTCGGAACCACATTTTTGTTTCGAAGTTTTACAATTCTAGTGCAGATTGAAAACGTTAACGTTTTGTTGGTTTTGAAACCAAAGTCTATCTTATATTGAATATTCTGGAAGCCAAACTTTCAGTAAATCACTACATAAACTATAATTTAAAATGAATGTTATACTCTTTGCGGCACTCTAAATTACGTGGCATAATATGCCCGGTTCACCATGTGGTTTTCATTGTATGCATATAAGTGTTAAAGTACTTGCATACCACGATGATTCAAACCACTTCATTTTCGGAAATATTTACTTGAAGAATAATATCATTTGGAAAAATTTCTCTTTCCATTCAATATCGATTGGTTTCAGTTTGGCATGTTTTCACTCAGAGTTTTTCAACAAAGCATACTATGTATCTAATAGTATTACATTTTTATTGTTGTAACAAATACAATCAACAAAACAAACACTTTCAACTCGTTTTATTTGTTACTTTATTGTTGAAAGAATACGTGCCAAGGAACGGATAATGTGCATGAACAATGTGTGGAAGATATTCGATGCGTACTATTTACTTGATTAGAACAAAATAAAGTGCATATAAATGCATTATAAATTACGAAGCTCTTTCACTTAAAAGATCCTAGCAACGTTGTATTCATTCATCATTATACCACATTCAAATAAATTATTGATTACACAAACATCGAAGGATTAAAAACTAAATCGATTCCCTATGCAGACTCAAATGATGTGTACAATTTAAACAATTATTGTTATGTTATGTTTGATCCATTATTTTACATGTTTATTACTGAACAGAACTAAATTACTGTTTTGCTTTTAATTAAAGATTTGAACGATTATGCCAAGTTTATTAGCTGAAACTTGGAAATTTTGAATGTTTACTAAGAACTGAGAATAAAATAGTTTTCTGTGTTATACATTCTATAACATGACCAATCACGCAGCAAAGACATTATTTTCAGCAACGGCAGCAGCATCAACAACAACATCAATCAATGGCACAAACTATGTAATGAATGAAAAGTTGAGTTTGATGTAACCATAAATGCATTTCTCAACCAGAGACTTTTGGTTGTTTCTAATACAATGTGAATAGCAGTCAGCAGACTAATATTAAATTTTAAAATTGTCTTTTTATGGAGTTGAAGGTAAACCCTTAAAAACAGTTGGTTGAAACAACATTAGTTTTAAATAGTTCCGTGTTTCTTATACAAAATAAATTGGATTTGTAAATCTTAATTTGTACATTGTACAATTCAATTGTGATAAAATTGAGATAGAATCATTCATAATATGAAATCAATTCATTACCGTTGTGGTAGCACAGCATCCGTCCACATTAATTTATTTTTTTTATTTAATGAACATGAAACTATGTTAGAACAGAATCGTGACGCATTGTACCAGAACCAAAGACGCGCATTATTTTCATTGTCATTTCAACAAATATTGACATTGAATTTCTCATCCGAATACTCGAATACTTGAAACCGCAACAAGACATTGTTTTCTTCTCCATCCATAAACTTTTACGATATCAACTTCTTCTCATCTTTATTTTGTTTGTACTATGACAAAATGTTAATGAAAGTGAAAAAAATACACTGCCTAAATATACATGATTACATAACAACATGTTCTCATACGAAAAAAAAAACAAGGCGATTTTGAAGTTGATTAAATCGGTACAAATTAAAAAAAACATTTTCGGTTTTTTTCGGTATGATGAACATTCTTGTGATTTTTTTTTAGCAATTAAATCTATCATACCTAATGAAAATGCAACAATTTTATTTATTTCATTTAGTTACAAACTAATGGCAGAGTGTTTACTCTATACATAATTTGAATCAATTGTGTTTTTAAAATAACTAATTGCACTGTTTCCAAAATATTGCACATTTGTTTACAAATATGTTAATGAATTGAACGAATGCGATAGTTACATTGTTAACGGTCCATAGTTTTACATTAAACACATAGTATATTGCTTCATTTGTGGCAACTATTGACTTCGAGGTGACACTGGCACGTAATGCAATCGAACCAAATGTGCGCTCCCCAGTTTTAAATGTGTATTTATTTTCGTTTCACATTTTCTTCAGTTTTAGTGAAATTTTGTCATCACATAAATAAAGTCAATTGTTTGGCGGCGCTTCTACCGAAAAAAAAGATGACAAACGTTCTTCACACGTTTAAAAAAAAAAAAATACGCAGTTAAATGTGGGTCAGAAAAAAATAGGTTCGTAAATTGCTTGTCATTTAATTGATGTTTGTATACATAATTTTGGTCTTTGTCAGCAGTATTATGTGCATGACCGCTATGCAAAAGGTAATAAAAGTGAAAATGTACATCAGTGCGTACATCAACGACCTTGTCGGTTATGATGTATAATTTTTGTTTTCCAACTATTGTTTGTCGTATGGATAAATTTTCATTTCGTCGTGGACGTAGAAGACCTATAATTTATATCGTTCAAAACGTACATTATCCGACATTATCACATTTGACAATGATTCTGTATCTCATTCTTTTTTTATACGATCAAAATTTACGCTGAAATTGAATAATGAAATGGAAAACACAAATACACTATTTTTTTCATTCAGTAGTAATGTTTTTCCTTTATCTTGATCAGTATGGGATGATTTATTAAGACTAATGGATTTAAACTACTATCAAATAAAGTGCAAACATTGGTCTCACCATTTCATTTCGTAAAAATTGATGATTTCAGATTGAATAAGTTTGAGGAATAGCGGGAACTCGACAACGTTGAGGAACATTTCAAATGCTTTATGGATAAAATTCGGTTAAAATCTCTTGAGAATTTAAAATCCCAATAGATACAAGCTCAAGAAATTTGTAGACTTGCAAGAAAATTTTTCAAGTTGTTAACTTTTAGAAACTAATATAGAGTTTTATTGATCTATGTTGATGTAGGAAATAGTTTACATTGCGGTATCGCAAACAATTTTCAGATTGCAAATATAGTTCTCAAATATTGCTTTCCAACATAATAAAGAATATAAAGAATTCAACAGTATTTATATAACGTAAATTGTTTCTTCAAATGAATGTGAAATATTTGTTAAGTAAATGAATAAGAGATGATAAGTTAGAAAATGCCATCCAAATCAGAGTAAAGATGATGTAATCAATTAACGCAAAAAATATCATGTAATAATATTTGATATAGTGTTTAGGGCAATAAATAATTCTGATTCATTGTTTTTATATTATTACCGGCACGTGGTTAGATGGAACTGATTAGCTCATTAAATCAATCAATGGTGCCAGCCCAAGCGGTTTTCCACATACGTCATGCTTTCCAAATAATATATATCCTATGTACCTAGTATATGTAAATTGGCAAAAATATTTAAATTAGTTCAAAGCATGTTTCAAAATGTAACACAAACTTTGACTGTCAAATTTTATCCCTTTAACACTTGCTCTGACGTGTGAGGCGTATTTATATTAAAATAATATATCAAACAACAGAAAACTTTATTATCTAATTATGCCGAAAAACTTCGCAAACAATCACGTTCGAACACATCATCACATAAAAAATTTCAAAATCTTCAATTTCAATTCACTCATTTATTTAGAAAATTGCTTTTGTGGTTAGTTTATGACTAAAGCATTCAAGTATACATTACATTTGGTATGAACTAAACTATAAGTCTATCTTAAAAGTTTTTGTTTTGATAATGGATATTGATGAAAAATAACAAATGTTAGCACAAAAGATTAATGAATGTGAGTAGCGAAAAGAACAAACTTAATCTTACATAAATTTATAATATATACTTACATGATTTCATTCAATATATTGTATTTGTTCATTACTTTTTAATGCTACTTTTAATGACTTACGCGCTAAGTTTATAATCCAACTTAGACTGGGAAGAAGCATGAATGAGTCATATATCATAAGTGCAACTATAGTTCGGTTGTAACTTCATTTTCCATTTTTCTTTTCATTCATGTTTAATTTAGTTTCGAAAGTTCGTTCGAATAAATTTCACTCGTCAGAAAAATAAAACTGAACATATGTCCCAATAAATGATAGGATAGAGCTCCAAACTCAAGATGTTTCTCTAA